AATGTATTCTGTCCTGGTTTAGGACATAATGACAATATTACATTAAATTGGCTATTGAAGGAGTGATAACTATAGCTCTATGGATGATCATATCCTCCTGCATTGTTCCAGATCACTCCATTATTTTTAATGCCCTAAATTTCCCCAAAAATCTTTTGTAATTCAACCTCTTGCAACTATTAGGGATAACACCTCCTTTAAAATTCCTTAGACATCTACAGCAAAATGTTTCCTATTGCCCTGGAAAAGAATTATTCCTCTAAGCTTCATCTGTTGATGTACTTTTTTTTAGAGGTGTGCAATGCAATAATTCAGAAAAAAATCCTCAGAGATTGTGAAACTGTCCATGTTTTAAATAGAAAAGAAGCTCTTTCCATGTGTGACAACTGTAGTTCATAATGAATGTTTCTGAGTGAAAGGAATTCTACCAGATGATTAGTTTCAAGCAGAGAAAATTAATTATGTAGTGAAACAGCTATACTGAGTGTCTAATTTTCTTTCTTTCTTTCTTTCTTTTTTTTTGTAAACCTATTTTTCAACCTCCAGAATTCAAGCAAAAATCCCAGGGGCGAAGAGGAAGGCTGAATAAAAGTAGCAGCAAGAATCTATCAACTACAGGAGTGAATGATAAGAGAGTCTGAGATGAAAACAGCTCTGTTCTTTTTACTTATAATTTATTATTCATCTCTCTTTTTCTTGCTTGGTCTCTCTCTCTCTCTCTGGGTGAAGGCAGATGTAAAATGGAAAAACTCATAGTGTTGCAGCATGCCCCTCAATCCTAGGTTGAGCCTGGATTCCTCGGAAATTCACAACCAAAATGACAGGCATCAATGCCACGAAAATGGGCTCAGCCACCTGCCTTTAGTCTCTTTTGCCCTATTCTTTATGCTGGCTGCCCAGCTATCCAAAAAATAATGAGAGCATTGCATAAATGTTCATGATTTTTTATTCATTTCTTCTTATCTACCTATATATCCACACAACATACTACTTCTTTGAAAATGTAAAGTTATTTTAGGGATTGAGAAGAAAACATTTGAGTGACATCATGAGAAAGCAGCCAATCAGCACTGTGCACAGCCGGCTTCTGCTTCAAATTTGAAGAACTATTTTTTTTTCCCAGTTCCATCCTGGGGGGGAAAAAGGGATGTTTGGATACCATGTAATGAGGGAGGGTGCTGCTGGAATGACACCATTGCTCTGAACATGTTATATTTGTCTTCACTCTTCTTTCTTTCGAACACCATGATCTCAGAGATGTGAAATAATGAAGCAGCTTTTCTCCCCCACACTTCTCCTGCTGTTTCTGTACTCTTAGACTATTTGCAATCATATGTGTCAAACACTAAAGTATAGTAAAGAGAAAAGTGTTCTAGGTGTGGTTCTTGTGTTGCTTCTTAAGTGCATGATGGTGAGAATCTAAAGTTACTATTGAACTTTCTATTTTTTATTATCTAGTGCTTCTACTATCATTTCTTCTATCGGCATCGCTTAAATAACTCTGAATGTTACATGTGGCTAGGGCTTTCCTGCTTAGTGCACTGATGCAGTTTTGCTTCTATGTCCACTGGGTTTGCTGGTTGGCTTTATCTTTGACTATTTAGAATCATAGACTGAGTCTTCAGGTGTCATTGTTTCTCTTTTGGCTCATCTAATTAAAAAACAAGCCAAGGAGCAATCAGTACTTAAATGGCATAATTCATTTTGTATAACTCTCTTAAGAAATTGAAAATAAAACCTACACACCCAGTACCTTTTGTTTTGTTTTCTTTTTTGGGTTTTTTTTTTTTTTTTGCTCTTCAAGGATCAGTGGTCTGATTACACGTATGGGAAAATTAAGACTTCCAGCTTGTAATACGTATCACAAATTTGTATGACGTTCTCTGTAGGATTTAATTATGGATTCTTAAATATTTGCACTTATGTACTTGATACTGAATGCAGAAATAAATGTTACTAAATGTTAAAAGGAAGGTCTTTGCTCACAGTCATTATCACATAAATACAGTGAATTTATATATTGTACTGCTTTCTGCCTATCACAAAATTGTCAACAGCAATAGATTCTGCTGAAGAATCTGTCTTTAACAGGTAACATTTTCTGAGCAGCACGGGGACTAGATAATATCTTTCAGAAATCTAGTTTTATTGATTCCAACTGCCAAGGAAGCGAGTTCATTACTAGATCTGGAAATGGCTATGTCACATATGATTTACAGATGTACATGCCAGTATAATAGACATGCCCATTTTTATCACATTGGTGTTTTGTGACTCAGTGTTATGTACTATGAGAGAAACATAGAATTACAATCTCAAGAATGTATTAAATATTTTTGGAATGTCTTTTTAATAAATTGGACAATTTCATATGTTTATCATGAAAAAGATCCCATCTTGTAAAACAGGAACATGAAAAGTTGCCTTACAAACCAAGGTTTGTCTAATTCAGTGTAATGTTTACACTGACTGGAAGTAGGTTTAAGGCTCACTTTTTCCACATATTACCTGAAGAAACTGGGGCTTTAACTTGGAGTTTTTTGGGGAAAGGATATAAATCCATTGAATACTGTAAATATTTTCCCCAAGTTTCTTCAACTGTGTAATGTTACATGGTTTAACTTTCAGCCCATGCTCTAGATTACTGGTCCTCAATCTTTCTGACACCAGGGACCAGTTTCGTGGAAGACAATGTTTTTACAGATGGGATGGTGGTACTTTTGTATGCAACCTAGATCCTGCAGATGCACAGATGAAGCTTCGTTCGCTCGCTGTCACTTGCGTGGCCCAGTACCAAACAGACCATAGACTAATACCGGTCCATGGCCCAGGGTGGGGGACCCCCTCCTCTAGATAACACACAAGAGTTTTGACAATATGGTTAAAATTTATGAAAAAATATACTATCATTGCAATCAGTACAAATATATTTTTCATCAAAAATGAGTCCTGCAAAATAGTTTCTATTAGTTTCCCAAGCAGTTGGCTTCAGTAATAAAACGAGGATAGATTGCAGTGTTTGTTTCTTGTACCTATTATGCACAGCAGCAGTTAAATGTTCAGGAACTGACCAAGAAGTATGTCTTCTCAAAAAAATGTTAAATAAGATTCTTCCATCTTTGTTCTGCTTCAGTAATGAAGCAGATTTCTGTTTGTACCCAGACCATGGAGTAGAGGAAAGAAGGAGAGAGGTGGCAGGGATGTTTTGTTTGGAGACAGCTCCTGGCATAAAAGCTGTTTCTGATACTTCTCTCCCAGTTTCTCCTTCCCCCTGGCAACAATGTGTGCAGAGAATAAGGATAACATTTCTTTACTGGTTATTAACTTCCTTTCTTATCCCTTAGGTTCTCTCCTTTTGGTGGGGGGAGCGGGGTTTTCCTAGAGCTAGAACTGGCGCCCAAAAGATCTTCCCATTCTTCTTTCTCGCCGTAACCTTTCCTCTATGGGTTGACATGTGGGAGAGATGACAATTTGGTACAGTGGGGAAAACCCTGATCCTCCTTCTGCCAATAGGCAAACAGCTCCCCCAAATCAATCTGGAACCAGAGCTGTGGGTGTGTCTACCTTGTCTTCAGATGGCCAACAGAAACAGGACAACCCACCACTAGCAAACTTACCTCCATGCTATTCACCGCAGACTGCACTAAATATGTACCAATCAATATGAGGGAGCATCACTGCAGAAACAAAACAGGAAGACATATGCACATGGTACATCCACAGTAGTATGAAAGTCAGCTGAAGGCAGTAACAAATGTTCATGTCCTCCAGGTTGTTTGTTGAAGCATCAGCACTCTCTAGTTAGCAGATGGTACAGAAGAGTCCTGAAGATGTCATGTTGTCTGTGTCTAATACAAAAATCTATTGTGAGTTCTCCCTCCACTGGAAGTACATGAGCTGCAGGAATATCCAGAGAGAAGTGAAAAAGCCAACATGGCAGCTGTGCCTGCACAACTGGAGCCCATCCCTTTTAATATGCATTGCATGCAAAGAAACAGGACTTCCATCACATGACTGCAGACAGCTTCTTGATCTTTTGCTATCCCCACCCAGAGATAATAAGCCATCTCAGCACCAGCCCCATTCCTTCTCTCCCTAGAGTAGGGGTATCAAACTTGCAACATCACGTGATGTGTCATGACGTATCACGACTTTTTTTCCATTGCCGGCAATGTGGTGGGTGCAGTTTTGGCATGACACCCCTGCCCTAGAGGTACCAAAATACCATATCCTCCTGACTTTCCATAAAGTAGCCAAAGCTGTGTTGTTTCAGCAAGCTTTTGGCCCATAAAGAAGTTTTAGCTATTATTTTACTGTGTCTTTTAATAATTTATATTTTATGTTTGTGTATGCATATACATGTATGACTTTAGGCACTCTACCTAAAGACTCTGTTAATCATGTTAAATTTATTTATCCTTAAGAGCCTCTCTTGAATAAATTTCTCAAATTAAGGTGCCTAGATGAACTACTGAAGTATTTTTCATTTTTAAAAAGATTTTATACTAAGTATAATGGATTTGGTTGCATTTCTAAAAAGTATCAGCTAAAAATGCATTCACAGTTCTGTGCAATGCCCATGTTATCATTTTATAGCTCATTCCTAGATTAACTAGACATAGGAAATCACATAAACAAGACTGCAGTTTCAGCAACCATCTGGAAACAAAAATGCCTTTACTTGTATATTATTATTATTTAAGTAAACTCTGATATAAGTAATTATTTAAGCGCAAGAAAACATGCATTTAACTGAAAGGTTACTGAATCATAAGAAATCCACTATTCTTTCATAATATTTATTAAAAGGCCCTCTCCAGTGTTGCAAACCCCCCGCCCCCCAAGCCTATTGCAGTTTTTCGGTTCCAAATGAAGGGAGAGGAGTAGAAAAATAAAAAGACAAAGAGTATTTTTTTAAATCCGCCCCTGTCATTTTTCTCGGCGACTTTGGAATAGCAACATCCAGCGGGTCTCGCGAGGCGCGCGCAGGTCAGTCGCCTCCGGTTGTCATAGTAACCGCCCGCGCGGTCTGGCTCGGTGGTGATGGCGCCTCCTCCTCACTCGTCCCGCTGTTCCGAGTCTGCGGCAGCAGCGCTGAAACATCTGCAAGGCGTGGGTGAGGCGCTTTCTTTCCTCCGCAGTTGCTTAGGCAAAGCTCTAAGGCTCCCGTGATTGGAAGCTTGCGCGTGGAGGGTGGCGCGGGCGCGTGGTCATTTTGAAAGTGCGAGTGAGAGGAACTCCAACGTTGGGCTTGGTGGGGGAAGAGCTGGTTGGCCCTCCGTGGAGAGGGGAGAAAGAATCCGACTGGGAGATGGAAATGATTCGTCAGTCCATCTCTTCAGCATGTCTTAATATTGCCTTTTTTCTCTGTTCAGCCTTCTTGTGAAATGTAAACGCTCAGCAATAAGGCACTTTACGCCTTCTCTACTCTCTCTCCCCAAGGATTAAACCTAGATCAGTTATTGCCTTGGTGAGGGGACGGCACCCTCCACATAATCTTTCCATGAATTCGTCTTCTTCCCTCACCCGCCGGCCTTAATCTTTTTGGAAATAGTGGCTGGGTTCTGATATCACCTGAGCTAGTGAGCTTGACAACATGGGAGGACCTGAATTTGGGGAACTTTGTACTGTAGAGGTGCAAAGGCTGAGGGATGGGCATTTTATATGGAAACAGGAGGTATTCTTGATTTCAGGGCTTTTCAGTGTTGAGTGAGAAAATATACTGAAGTAATGCTGCAAATTTGATTTATTTTTTAAAAAGAGATGTGTAGCATAGCCTCTCATGTATTAAAGCCTACTGTTTCAGTTTCTTTAACTAATGTTTACTCCCTGAGAGCAAACAACATGCAATACAGTAAAGATTTTATTTTAAATTGAGAAGCTGAGAGGTCAATGTTTATGTGATCCCAGTGTTATTCAGAATTATGAGTAGCAAGAGTGGCCTTATGGTTTGGGGAAATGTTTTTTTCCAGGCAGTTGAAGCTACCTGCAGACAATGAATTCTGCAGGAGGTATCTAAAATGTTAAAATAATTTTAAAAAAACCATTGGAAATTTAGTTATTATATTATATTGTTGAAAAAAGTGCAGTCACATTTTGGTCAAATGTTAAAACAGCCTGTGATTTTTGAGAACAAATTAGATGGAAGCCAGCTGTACCAAAGCATCATTTCTGAGAACATAAGTCACATTCAGAACCTGTGGAATTACCCGTAGGAGTAGAATTCAGTTAAAGGAAGAAATAACTGTCATTGCTTCATTTTAGTGGATATAACAATTAGTAGTTACAACTTCTGAAGATTACTAACAATGGACAATACTATCAATGTGTCCATGTCACATTTCAAAAGTTGAAAATTATGAGTCATCTCATTATTTTATTTTTGCAATGAGAATATTTTTGCAATATTTCTAACATTCTAAAGATATAATGCAGGGGTGTCAAACTGCTGGCCTGCGGGCCGGAAGCATCATGGTGAAACCATTACCGGAAATGGAAAAAAAATCACGATACGTTGCAACATGTCATGTGACGTTGCGAGTTTGACATCCCTGATATAAGGCAAACTAATTGTCTAGGAATAATGTGACAGAAATGTGCAGCTAAAACAATTTATGGGTCTGTTTGAACTACACAGACAATTTACATATAATTTTAGGCTCCTCTTCTTTAACAATCTAACAATGAACTACTTAGAAAGCTTTTTCATTCCTTCCCTTCTCATTGTCTTTTACCTATGCTTTTCTCTGCTGAAGCAAGAAGTCTTGATCCTCCAACCATATATGGTATACTTGATGAATATATTGTCACATTGAGAGACATAAATCAAGTCTTATAATACTTCAGATGTTGCTTGTTTTTATTTGTTTAAACATCAGGAAATATTAAAAATGCAGATCTGCAGTTATTGTTACATTTTTCACTTGCTTACTGACATACACATATCCCCATACATATTTCACCAGTTTACATTTTATTTGACCAGACTAAATGCATTATCATTAATTATTGCAATGAGACTTAAGCATTAAATTTCACACTTTTATAACTTTTCACCATGGCCAGTTGTAACCTAGTACTCTTATTATACTTCCTGGCATTTTGACTTGAGTATTATTTTTTCATCTAATTCATAATCTCTTGTTTTGAGGACTTTATATTGAGAGCTGTATTTTATTTTGTCTTTAAAATTATCTTTATTCTGATACTATTTTAATTGCTGCATATGGTGAAACCTTTCAAAACAAAACCTTTTGCCTCTATGACAGGCTTTGAGTCTCACTTTCTCTGTTTTTCTTGCACTGATCATTAGGAGGCACCATACTTTCACCCTTATTAAGAACTATCATACATGGACATCCAACCATTATTCTGTGGACTTCAGACCTTCTACTTAGAATTGAACTCAAAGATCTTGATGCTTGGATGAATACATTCAGTACATGAACTTTAGGAACTATTTAAAAGCACTCAATGTTTACAAGAAAGTATGCATAGAAGCTATCAGAACAGTATATACAGTTTACCTTCCCCTAAGCTCTCAGAGAAGAGAGAGATTACATCATGTGCCATCTGGGAATTGAAGGCATATAGAAATGTATACATGGAGAAGTGGAAGATATTAAATCAGTCTTTTATCATAGTCTAATGATTTCCTGGTCAACATCGTCAATATCAAAACTGATGTCAATGGGTGAGGGCGGAATAATTATGTTGATTCATCTCAAATATCAGTCCATTCTAGCAAGCTTTTAGATATTTTTCTAGCAGTGTGATAGGTAATTTGGCCATATCCCAAGTTTATTTTGGGAATTCAGATGTTGCTGAATACCAGGATTTGAAAATTTCTGAATTCTAAAATTCCAGAGACTAACAAGGATTGGTCCTAGATTTATTTTATTTTTTTTTATTTTATTTTTATTTTAAATTTATAAGCCGCCCCACTCCCGAAGGACTCTGGGCGGCTAACAATAAAAAACACATAAAACATAACAAAACAAACAATGCAAAGACAGTCATCCAGGGGTCAGGTTTTATAAACCCCAGGCCTGCCGGAAAAGCCAGGTCTTAAGTAGCTTACGGAAGACCAACAGGGTGGGAGCGGTCCTAATCTCCGGGGGGAGCTGGTTCCAAAACGTGGGCGCCATCACAGAGAAGGCCCTCCTCCGCGGCCCCGCCAAATGGCACTGCTTGGCCGACGGGGCCTGAAGGAGGCCCAGCCTGTGGGATCTAACCGGACGTAGGGAACTATGAGGTAGTAGGCGGTCTCGCAAATAACCTGGCCCTGAGCCATATAGGGCTTTAAAGGTAATGACCAACACCTTGAATTGGACCCGAAGACCAATAGGCAACCAGTGCAACTCACGGAGGATAGGTGTAACGTGGGTGTATCGAGGAGCACCCACTATCACTCACGCGGCTGCATTCTGGACCAACTGTAGTCTCCGAATACTTTTCAAGGGTAGCCCCATGTAGAGCGCGTTGCAGTAGTCCAGACGTGAGATGACAAGGGCGTGAGTGACCGTAAGGAGAGCCTCCCGGTCCAGGTAGGGTCACAACTGGTGCAACAGGCGAACTTGTGCAAAGGTCCTCCCAGCCACAGCCGTCAATTGATGTTCCAAATTCAGCTGTGGATCAAGGAGGACACCCAAGTTGCAAACCTGCTCCGAAGGGGGTATATTTTCCCCTGCAAGAGTCAACACTGGACAGTCGACATGATCCCATCACTGATTATTTGGCTGAGAATTCCCAGAATCTACTGTGCAACTAAAATGTGAAACTAATAACCATGAAGTTAACTGCCAGGTTTCAAAGCATTATTTTATTTAATGTGATTTGAAAACTGAAAAGTGTTTTGAAGTCAGATTTCTTTGGTCTTTCTTTTTTGTTTAGAAAAACAGTTTCAGAATGAAGGACTACTATTCAAGAAAGAAACTATACAGCACCTTGAAGATGCTGTTAAAGCCATTAAAAAATTGGTAATACCAAAATCTAAAAAATACCGCCTTTATACATTTAAATAATACATGGGTTGTGATTACAAAATTTGGGTTAGACTAAATAGTCTTGCATTGAATCTGTGGATGACTATTTGTGTACTAGACGTACTATAATTAGAGTTTATTTATTTATGAGACTTATATACCGCTTTAAGTGCAAGCACTCTTCAGTGTTGTACAAAGAAGATCTGTGCTAGGATAATGGTAGGCTTCAAAAAAACCCTTGCACACAGTGTAAATCTTAATATTCTGTTAAGCTTGCTGATAATATTTAGTCATGCCATTATCTCCCACAGTCTGGAGGGAAGGAAAGAATAAGGGTAGTCTTTGACTTACGACCATAATTGATCCCAGAATTAGGGTCATAAATCATGGTAGTCTAAGCAGATCACCATGTGACCGCATCTGATTTTATGACCTTTTATGTGGCAGTCATTAAGCAAATGCTGTGGTTATTAAGTGAACAGCATGGTCATTAAATGCATGCATTTTAGCAAGTGGGCATTTTTTTTTATGGAAACTAGAAATAAATGTCAGTTTCTGGGGTGGGGGGAAGCCAAAAATCATGGTCCTATGACTGTAGGATACTATAGACCAGCGTTTTTCAACCTGTGGGTCATGACCCCTTTGGAGGTCGAACAACCCTTTCACAGGGGTCGCCTAAGACCATCGGAAAAGACATATTTCCGATGGTCTTAGGAACTGAGACACTGCTCTGCATCCGTCTCCACATGGCCTCCTCCGCCATTTGCAGAGAGAGAGAGACAGAGAGGCAATTTTACTTCCCTTCTCTCTCTCTCTCTCTCTCCTGATTGGCCCTGCGCCTGGATGCCCCACCTCCTGGGAGAAGCGCGGCCAGGGCCTCGTGGCCTTGGAGCCGCCTGGGGAAGCCCCGGGATCCCTACTGGGAGTGGGCCAGCCCTTCCACAAGCCATGGCCAAGGGAGACCAGCCCCTGCTATCCCCAGCCAGCCCGACCATTGGCCCCGCTGACCGGGAAGGCATGCCGGAGTCCAGTCTGCCGGGAAGAAAGGAGATGCAGCAATGGTAGGAGAGGAGATCCTCCTCCTGGGGCCTGGCACTGGCGGCAGCTTCCTTGCCCTCCTGTTCCTCCTCCCCTTCTTCCTCCTGCTGCCCCCCAGGCGGCTTGGGTGGGCATCAGGACAAGAGGGGTGCCTGGGGGGAGCAGCTGGGTTGGCGGAGGGGCTGTCAGGGGCTGCGTGGCACCAGCCCCCACTACAGCTCCATCGATTGGCGGAGGACGAGGCCAGGCAGTGCAGAGTCCCGGCTGGGGTGGCTGCTTCCTCGCCCTCCTCCTCTCCTTCTTCCTTCTGCCCCCCAGATGGCTCGGGCAGGCGCTGTCCCCATTGCGGCTCCATCGATGGGTGGAGGGCGAGGCTGGGCAGCACGGAGTCCCGGCGGGGGTGGCAGCTGGGCCGGGGGTGGCGGGGACCCCCAATGATGCAGCTGTGCCGCCGCCGCCACCAGAGCTGCTGCCTCCCGTCCTCCCCCTCCCCACTCGTTCGGCTGAGGACACGGCGGAGGCCAGGCTGGGGGCCGTGGGGACCCCCGATGATGCTACCATAAGAGAGAGAGAGAGAGAGAGGAAAGAGAGAGGAACAGAGGAAAAGTAAAAGGAAAGAGAGAAAGAGAAAGAGAGGGAAGAGGAAGAGAAAGAGAAAGAGGGAGGAAAGAGAGAGGAAAGAGAGAAAGAAAGGGGGAGAGGAAAGAGAAAGAGAGGAAAGAAGGAAAGAGAGAGGAAAGGGAGAGAAGAGGAAAGAAAGAGGAAAGAGAAACAGGAAAGAGAAAGAGGGAGGAAAAAGAAAAAGAGGAAAGAGAGAGAGAAGAGAGAGAGGAAAGAGAAAGAGAGAGGAAAGAGGGGGGGGAAGAGACAGAGAAAGAGGGAGAGGAAAGGCGCTTCTCCAACCAGGCTGGGGGGAGCCGGCGGAGCCGCCTTCCTGCCCCCCTCCCCGGCCAGTTGGATGGGGGGTTGGGAGTCACCACAACATGAGGAACTGTATTAAAGGGTCATGGTATTAGGAATGTTGAGAACCACTGCTATAAACAGTTGTAAGTGTGGGGCAGTTGCCAAGTAGTCAAAATGTGATCTTGTGACCTTGGAAGGGGGCAGCCATTGGAATTTCAAAACGGGTCATAAATAGTTCTGGAGAAGTCCACTGTAACTTCAAATAGCCTTACCCCATTTACTAAAATTTATTAGAGATCTAAGCAGTGATTCTTTTGTACAAACTTCATCACTAAGAAAAAAAGTCTGTACCTACATTGAGGAAAAATACGGCCATCAGATTTTTTTTTCCTTTGTCATATATCTATCAATTTCTAGGAAAAGGAAAGAAAAGATACAATTGAACTGTTGGAAGAAGAGACCATAAAAAACTGTAATCTCCGTATCAGAGTCAAGAGATTCCCAGCAATTGTTATGAAAGAATTTGAAGGTACTTTTAAGTGAATCCATTTTATCTTAGAGTAAAATGCATGGGAGAATGCAATATATGATTAATTTGCTAATAATGATAATTTATTTTAAGAACTATGCATTTTGACAGAGCTTTCCATAACTTGTTTTGATTAACATTTGGATTTGGATAATAGAAATTGAGTAAGTATAAAAAGTATAAAAAGAGGAAACTAAGAAACAATATATACATTTCTCTTACAATAGTCTTATTATTTATACCTGATTTAGAAAAAAATGTAAAACTAATACATATCTGGAGTTTACATATTGCTTAATCCCAAATCCCTCTTAACATATCTCCAAACTGATCTGAAAAAAAGGATTATGCTTTAATAGCCTACTGTTTAAGGCAGCAGCTTCTTTAAAACTCTTATTAATGATCTGAAAGGATGAGTCCTATAGAAGACCAGAGAAAGTTTGTGATGGAGAGTCAAGAATGAATTATGTTGTTTGGCCTTAATGCATTTAAATATTATCAAGATTTTTCAAATATTGGAAGTATAGGAATATACCTATGGATCCTTTGCTTGTTTGCTTCAATCTTGGGCTGAAGAGGTATTAGAATAAGTGAAGATGAATATGGAAAAATAACTTTGCTTTAAAAGAGGTTCAAGAAATTAATGGAATACGAAATAATCACCATACTGCATATATTTGAAGCTCTGTATGTGAGTTAATAGATCATTCAATATCATCTGGCAAATAATAAAAGAGAATTATGTTTTTATATTTCAGCTTTCAAGTCTTCAGTATTTTCAAGGGCTTGTTTCTGTGGAATGTGTATAACTGAAATATCTAGATAGAATGAAGACGCAATCCAAATACCACCTCAGTGTGGTTAACCTTTGGAGTCAGTGCTTAACCTTTAGAGTCAGTGCCTTGTTTTCCTCTGACCTCTATAATTTCTAGATGATTCATTTGGCACAGAGATCTGATAATTTATAGAAACATTGAAAATGGATTTAAATATTTTATTTCTTTTAGCATATCTGTCTTTCTGTTTTAAAATTCTTTATTTTAGAACTTGTGGCTGCTGCCCATCGATTTCATCTTAACAAGTTAAGAGAAGTAGAAGCTTCTGTGAATGAAACTATTGCTGCAGTACAAGAGGTGTACACAAAGCAGATGCTCTTTGAAGAACAAAACGAAACGCTGTGGTAAGCACTATTTGTTTACAGTTGTGATATTCCATTCCTTACTCTAAGGGTCATGTATTCTCTACTATTACTTTACTTTCCTAAAAGAACTTGTACAAAATAAAAATAGTATGGAACATCTAACTGAAAGCTTCAACAATTAGTTTCGATGTTTGAAATCTGTGCCTTTGACAGATAATAATATAATTTTAATAATATAATATAAATTATAATAATATAATTTATTGCTCTATGTCACAGTTGTCAAACTCTCTGTGTCACGTGACATGTTGCAACGTATCGCAACTTTTTTCACATTGCCGGAGCCTCCGGCATGATGCAACTGGCCCATGTGTGGGCAGTTTGACACCCCTGCTACATGTTATTTCTGCTAAATTTAATCAGGAAGTATCTGTAATCCAATGTTGGGAAAAGTTATTTTTAACATTTGTGGTGTTTCTCATTCACATAGCATATCATGGAGATGTAACAATGTTCTCAATCCTTGGTAATGGGTTTCAAGCTAGCATATAGCTTAGAAACTACATTGGTCTCACTTATTGATGACCTTTAGAGAGACCAGGATCAGAGGGGTGAAACTTTCAACTCCTTGATTTCTCAATCATTTTTAGTACTATTTACCATGGTGTCTTTCTGGAGTATCTTGGCAAGATTGGAGTAGTGAGCACTGTTTTGTAGTGATGCTACTCCTTCCAGAGGGCATGGTTTTCAGTATCTGGTATTATCAGAGTATCAGATGATGGTAACCCAGCTATATATATCAGCCCTAAAGAGGTGATTCAGTAGAAGACTGAACCAGTATCCTGAGCCTGTTAGGGTCTGGATGAGAAAGAACAGACTCAAAATGAATCCCTGTAGGAAAAGTAACTTTAGGTTTATGATTCTAAGAAATACCATCTTTGACTATGAATGGATTAGGTATTCCCTATATTCATAGTTGGTTTGCACTTGAGGGATCCTGGATTCACAGCTCCTGCTCAATCAACAGACAGTACTTGTGGCCAGGGGGATTTTGTACTATTATAGGATGGTCTGCTTGTAGTCAATCATATCTTAAACACCTCTTACTTGTATTTTTATAAAGTGTTCCACATGGGGTTGTCCTTAGAAAGCATTTGGAAGGTAGAGCTGCTACAAAGTATGATAGTTGAACAACAGTGAGTATCTCAGTTCAGTATAATCAGATGACTCTACTGTATTGGGAATGCATTGATTGCGATTTGGCTTTCACATCTTTGTTGTCACCTTGAAGGCCTTACATGGTTCTAGACCATATTATCCGAGGATGTGCCTTCTCCAAATTAATTTGCCCATTGAATCAGATCAAATAAAGTCAATATTGTCTAGGATTGCTGTCCCCCATATTTTGTAATTCTGTTTGATCTGCTCCTTCCCTTCTGAGTTCAGAAGAGTAATTGAGCTTGTTTGTTCCATCTAGCACACCAGAAGGGTATGTTGGGAATGAAGGATGAAATTGAAGGGTACTTAAGTTTATATGCTTTCTGTACATTATTTTGATGTTGCCAATTTTGTTTATATAGTAGGTTTATATTTTGATGGTGGCAATTTTGTTTATATTATGGGCAAGTTTATTTATTATTTTTAAGAGGTAGTTTTTTATTTTGTGCTAATCTTGATCTTGATTGTTAGCTATCCAGAGCAGCCTTTAGTAATAGCTGGCATGCTAACTAACAGTAACTAACTAATTGACTGACTGACTGATTGACTGACTGACTGACTGAATAAATACAGTTGGTGTGTGTTGTTTACTGTCATTTTTAAGATTTATTCACAATTTTCTTTTGGCAGTAAGGAGCAAGATCAAACATGGGAGAAATATGATGAAGTTGTCCAATTACTAAACCAGCAAATGGCTGCAAGACATTCTATGAACATTAAAATAAATGAACTTCGTAATATGACAAAAAAAGAAGAAGAAGAAACTGTCATGGAAGGGATTGCCATTGAAGATCTAAAGAAACTAATGGCTAGAGAAGCTCTTCAGTTTAAAGAAAACAAAGCATTGTTAGAGCTACAGGTACTTTTTAGGAATTGAACCTTAGCACTGCATTAATGAAAGCATCAGTCTTGGGACCATCCATCCAGTGGGTTTCCAGAAAAGTCCTCCATGGGTTTTAAATTATTATTATCTATAGTTATTAACTCATCTATTGCTCATCTTGTGTCAGTGCTATCATTATTTTTAATGAAAATCCTGTAGAAGCACAAGGCTGGGTCATCTCTAGGATTTCTAATTAGATTCATAATAAAATAATGAACAAGTTTGTGAGAAGGGGAAGAAAGAAATGTTCAGGTCGACCCTATTCATAACGGATTTGTAGACTTTTGAGGTGCAAGTATCTTAATCAGATTCAAAGAAGCGTCCTTTCCTTAAAACTGTCCAGAAATGTGACCCCTGTGTAAAACAAGGGTTGGCATTTTTATCTTTTAGTACTCAGTATTCAAAATCATCAGAGACTAAAAGTTTACCCATGTTATTTTCAGAGGCTGTGTTACAGGCATATAAGTAAGGATGGCAAAAGTAAAAAAAAATGTCATTGAAACAAAAGAGGATGAAATCTATGGATCAGCTAGCATCAAATTAACTTTAGTGTCTTAGCTAAAGTTGGGCTGGAAGCCAGAAGACTGAGTTCTTTTGTTCCAAAATAGGAGGTAGGAGCGGTTATTACACTGCTTGATTTAAAATAGGTAGGATAAAAATCTGACAATAAAAATAAAATCCTAATAACATTAGCCTACTTCATACAACATTAAAAACCATTCAGGTTTGGAAAATATGCTAGCAATTTTTTAAAAAATAAATAAAAAGGTAATATAAAAGCCATTAGATGACATTAAGAGAACCCACAAGTTAACATTTTGAAAAATATGCACGTACAGAATCTGTGATCATAAAATCTTGTGAGATTTCAGTTTTCTTTTGTGAAGTCACATACATTTTCAGTATTGGCTTGTAAAATTACGCCACTATTTGGGGAGAGGGAGGTGAGTTAGCTGTTTTTCATGAGATTCATTCCTACTTATTTAATTATTTTGATATATCATCAAACAAGATCTTGAAATGGTGCCTAGTAGTTGTAAAGCTTGATGACCTCATGACTGATTAATGGCAGTTGTTCAAAATAGCATTTTACAAAGTGAGACATTCAACAATTGAATGAAAGCAGCAACAATGCTGGAGAGAGATGGGTTCAGTAGAAAGTGCTAAAAATGTACAAATAACGATTTTAGCTATATTAAAGTTGTTTTTGACTGTAGATTGAAGAACTTCGGGAAAAACTTCAGATGAAAAAACAGGAGGTTGCAGAAAGGAAGACAGAATTTGAAAGGTTGCTTAAAATACTATGTCATTTACAGCAGAAAGTTTCACATCATAATCGGGTAAATGGAATTACGCCTTTGGCAATGTGCCTTTTCAAAGTCATATCCATTATCTTTTTCCTCTATAAAATGAATTGAGACCATATAAGTATGGTCCTAGATAGACTACATCTCAGTGCACTGGGGATTAAATATTGAATATTTTATTTACATATTTATCAAATTTCTAAGGCTACCCATCTATCAAAGAAACACTAGAGAGTAATCAAAAGTAAGAAACAACAATCATAAAACACTTCAAGTGGCCTTTGGCTGTAATAAAATTGAAAATTGAAACACTTCTCAAAAAAACAGATCAATGAAACCAGGTCTCCCATTAAAAATCTAAAAAAAACCTCCCATATTATATATCCATGCCAGAGCTCTAGAAATTAATAGCAGCCTTCCACAAAGCTGATAGCATTGAGGTCATCTGTATCTCATATCATTGTGGATTCTTCCAAGAAGATTGTTCCTTGCAATGCCAACAGTTAGGAGTAAAATAAAATAATGAAATAAAATAATGTAAGTAACAATTTATATAGATGCTTATTTCCCCAATGTGATTCAGGATAGCTTACAATGATTAAAAAAATATATTTTCTGGCCATTAACACAAAGTGGGTTCTGAAAACACTATTTACCAGTAGCATGAATTTAAGGGTTTCTAGAAGTTGAGCAAAATCAGGCCCATCTATACTTCAAGCAGTATAGTGTTCCAGAAGGCAGGTGCAGATATGGAAAAGTCATATTTCCTGGGCCCTACTTCATGAGAGTCTGATTCATTGGATCCAAAACCTGCCTCTCCTACCCAACCTACTGGGAAAGGTAGAAATGCTGGGAACAAGACAGTCCTTCAAATATCCTGGCCCAATGCCATGCAGGACTTTATAAGTAATAACCAGCAACCTGAATTGCAGCTGGCAGCAAACAGAGCCAGTGCAGTTTGCAGAACAAATATGTAACATGGGTATAATGAGACAAATCCATAACTTCTGGACCAAGTGAAGATTCTGGATATTATTAAAGGGCAATCTCATATAGAGTGCATTGCAGTAATCCATTCAAGGGTGATCAAAGCATGATTGACTATGCTCACTATCCCAATCTGAGAAGGGGTGCAATTGGTGTACAACAGGGAGCTGTGCAAAGGCCCCCTTTCCATACCTACCACCTGCTATTTGAAGAGGAATTGTTGATTTCACACGGCCTCAAAATCAAGTGGCCCTAACTCTCAAAGCCACTTAGTCTCACAAGGGTTAGGAAATCTGTTTATCCCCATCCAAATCTCCAAAGCTTTCAGGTTCCGAGATAGAATCTCCATAGCATCAGTTGGCTGGCGTGCGGTGGAGATACACAGCTGAGATAATACTTAATCTCAGTTTGCATGTGATATTAAACTTTGGATTGGTTTAAGCTAGGGTTTTCATACCAAAGCTAGCATGTGAAGAGAGGAGTATTGACTCAGTATCAGTTTCTTAAACCTTGACTTGATACTTTATCATCTAAATTATATGTAATCTTCAGATTATGACCACTCGTTCAGTGACCGTTCAAAGTTATGATGGTACTGAATGAGTGGTATTTAGGACCATTCCTCAAAGTTTTGGCCATTGCAGTGCTCCTACAGTCATTTTATCCCAATCTGGCCCTCAGTGAGCCTTGGTCATGTGATTGTAATTGCCCGTATTCCCTGCCAACGTCTGACAAGCATAGTCAATAGGGAAATTGTCAGGAAGTCATAAATAAACCCCACCACTTCTTTACCTGCTTCTGGGACACCCCCCCCCTCCGCGGCACCCATGTGCCCACTTGTGCTCTGTAGCATGTCTCTGCAGTGTCCCCCACAGAACCTGCACTCCCACCCAAATTCCATAATAACTGACCATGACATCTTCCTGTGGCATCCATGTATGTCCCAGCTGTTTGCCAGAAAGCCCCCTCCCCCAAAAATCCCATTAAACAACCTGCACGGTCCAGGGATTATGATAGCAACTGGGACTGCCAAGATTGCTGTTGTTAATTGATGCAGTCACATGAAGAGATTCTTTATAATTACTTCGCTTAGCAATGGAGATTCTGTTCCCGATTGTAATCAAGGACTCTCTGTATTTCAGTGCTTTAGTACTTTAATGGGAACAATATGAACTTTTACTAATTACCAGTATCAGAATAAAATGAGCTTTTTATTTAGTTACTTATACTATTGTTTTATTTGTATTTTTATAGATTGTCACTGATTTGAAAAAGGAATTAGAAGAAATGTTTAAAAACATCAAAGAACTAATAAAAGAGTTTGAGAAGAAAAAGGCTGAGAAAGAGGAGCTTATTAAAAAAAAGTAAGCAAGATGTACTTTTCTGTTGCTGTTTCACTTGAATATTTTTATCTCTGTTGCTAAAATACATATAAATATATTTTGCAGAAAGCAAATCTGACTGGATTCTAAAGGACAAAATACAATAGCAAATAGTAATTAGGATTTGATTTACATTCAAATTAAGTTATTAGCTTAATTTGAAAAATGTTGATTCAGCAGCTATATTTTATAAAACATGACTTATCATAAATGAACTAGAACGCAATAACTTGTTCAACAAACCAGATTTTAAGGCAAATCATGATTTAGTACAATGTGCAAAACGTGTTGGTGAAAAAGCTTTCTACCATTTTCTTACTTAATCCTTTTAAACAGGAGATGGCAGCACAAGTTCTCCTTCCTTACAGTTGGATTTTCCTATTCACATGTAACATATTAACATATAATGCTTAACATCAAAATGAGTACAGTAATGTAGACACATGAGTGCACTTCACCTTTGATTTGATTTTGGAAAGTTATCTAATACACATCTACCTCCTGCCAGCTTCCCCATTGACAAGTACAAAGTTGTTTACTTAGGAAAGAAAAATTAATAATGGTATTTATGGAAAAGATTTTGGGATAATAGTTGATTGCAAAGAGAATATTAACCAGCCAAGAGATACGGGTACAAGAAAGGCAAATTTTAGGCAGCACCATGTATAATTTTCAACTAATGGGAAGTAATTGATCCCTTTCATTCAGCTTTAGTCAGGCCCCAATTCAAGTTATATATTTAGTTTGGGCACTACACTTATAGTATTCAGAGATTTTGGAACATATTTAAAGAATAATTATGAGTACGATTAGCAGATTAGAAACATGAGTCCCATGAAGAAAGTTGTAAAGTGCTGGATATTTGATAAGAGATAACTGGTAGGGAGACATGCTAATACTTTTATCGGCTTAAGAGATTACCATATCACAGAAGAGTGGTTAATCAATTAATTAATTTGGATTTCTGCACTGAGCATGAAGTAGAACTTAGTAGTTTAAATGTTTTTTATAAAAGCCTTCAAGGTACTTCTGGTTAACGGCAAATCTAGTGTGAATGTAATGTCCAGTGTTTCCCTAATACTATATTAATTTATTTAATTGATAGGTGTTGCCTATTTCAATTTGTGACTTTAGGCTGCAAAAGATGCAAGGGGGCTTATTAATTTATATTTTGTGTTTTGGCCCTGTTTTTTCCAGAAGCAAAAGGATTTGTTTGCAGTCAACCTGTTGTTAGATTTACATTTTTGTGGATTTGTATAGTAATTCTGTGAGAAGCGTACAAACAGGATAAGGGGACAATAGATTTTCACCAGTTTCCCAGCAGCAGGTACTCAGAAGCTGCTGCCTTTTGAATAGTATCCTTCCATCATAACTAACTAACAAAGATGGATTTATCCACATTGAATTTGTTTTATTTTTTTCTAAAATTCCTATAATTACATCTTGCAACAAGATGTAGCTCATCTATAGTATTAAGAAAACCCATTGTTGTGGTTGTTCCGTATAGGAATATATAGCATCAAAAGTAAATGAAGTATTTTTAGGCATTGGTTCTTTGTAGGAATTACTTGTGAAAAAAAATATACAATCTCTCTGTTGGCATTTTTATACAACTGTGATAATTTGATTTTTAATAAAAGAAAAATGCTGGTGTAAAGTATGTAAAATAATACAAGATAAACTGTGGTTGATGGCTTCTTTCTCTGTATAGAACAAGGTACTTTTATTTGATTACTGTTTTTCAGGCTTGGTCTTCAGGACAATCTAGTTTCATTAGATGCAGATTTTGATGAAGACAAAGAACATTTGCTACAGCAGCTAGAGGAGGTAAAAAGGTTCATGCTACTGAGTTTGGAAATAATAGATAATGGAAATAAGGAATACTGGTCATGGCCCTCAGTGAATATTCTCTAAAATCCTATTTTTGTATGATTAACTATTTAATGGGGAGAAGCCAGGCAGTTCTGCTCCATTATAAGTAAGCATTATAGGAACTTCTTTTATATGTATGGGCACATAGCTCTGGTTACTGACAGAAACTTAGGAATTATGCTTAACTGACATTTTCTTCAATATCAGTCCCACTATTGTATACAGTAATGCATATTTATTATTATCTTCTGACTTCATTCTTGAGATATAGGGATATAGGTGGATCATTGTCATAGTTTCTGCAACCAAAAAGAACTAAAGATGTTTAGAAAAATCCATGGGGAGATAATACCCGGGCTATTGCTGCTGACATATGAATTGACCCTAATTTTATTTACCTATTAGAACTAAATTAATTTAAGAATAATGTTTGGTGAAATTAAGCAGACTTTAAGTCTCCCTTGTTTGTGCCTGATTTCATTTTCTTATACTTAATCTAAATAAATAAATGTGCCAAATCTAGACCCGCATATATACCAGTGCATTTTTAGAAAATAAAAAAAGATTAAAGCAGCAACCCAGTGCTTTGTTCTGAGTTTATTTTCCTTTCCACAGAAATTGAAAACAGCGTGGAAGATTAGTAATAAAGAACACCTTAGTATGCATTTTCTTTTGTGATTGGCCTATCCATCATGGCAACTATTTTGAAAGTGTGCCTGTAACTAAGTTTCAAATATGCTCAAAACCCTAACCCAAACCCTTGCTCAAAAAAGTTGAATATTCTGCATTAGATGCTTTTCTCTATTGCTATTGCTACATTGCTATTTTGTCTTCTTGTAGTGAGATTGATTCTCAGTACACTTCAAGAAAGTAAAAAAGTGGCTGGTTTCAGCTAACAAAAATTAATTCTGTAATCAAATTAATTTTCTTCCACGAAAGTAAATATTTTCCTTGCTCCTTTCAATGCCATTACTCCATTTTCATTCACAGAATACAGCCAACTTAAAATAAACCAAGCAAGATAAATTGTACCATAAGTTGATCTTTTTGTTTTATTTATTTATTTAATAAAACAGAAAGTATAAAATAGAACTAAAACAAAAAAATGCAGTAACAGTACTCCTTTGATCATGGATAAGATCAAAAAAGTTATTTTGATATGAGTAATGGTAAAGCATCAAGACTGGGCAGCTTTTTTATGGAATCATTTAAAATATATACTGATATTCTCACTTCTATATCAACTATATAATGTTAGTGGCTTTACAAACATTGACAGTCAAACTATCAAGTAAAATGACAGGGATGAAACTAACAATGACATTATTTGCTAACAATGCCATATTCACAATTATTCAACATATTATAAAGAAACAGACTTTTAAGTTGAATTCCCATTTCAACTAAGTATATTTTTATTGAATTTTATTACACCATACATCCCTTCAAAGTCTACTAAATTAGCGTCATATATGTGAACTGTGATAAGTATGATATGTTTCTTACTGGAAAGGCTGTTTAATTCATCCCTTCGAAGGACAGCTAAACAAATTATGGGAATATTCTTTGGTGTCCAGAATTCTTTCATAATTTAAAAATAAAACTGATATAGAATTCAATTTTAACTGGAAACTATCATGTATTATGACTTAATACATGGATTTCTACCTCATCCAAAATTAGAGGTTTTTTCTATGTAATTCTATATTTTAACTTTGTGAGATGTTCCAATTAGAATAGATTCTCAATATTAATTTGGTTTATTTTAGCTTATAATTTTAGTCGGTTAGTTATACTGTATTGATCATGGTTCCTAATGTATATTCTTAGCTTAAAAGTTGATAGTGTTTTTACTTTTTAAAATTAATACAACTTTCTTTATAATTCATAAGTTTAACAGAATAGCAGAGTTGGAAGGGAACTTGGAGGTCTTATAGTCCAACCTCTTACTCAAGCAGGAGGCCCTGTACCATTTTGGACAAATGGTTGCCGATTTCTTCTTAAAACCTCCATTGTTGGAGCACCCACAACTTCTGGATACAAGCTGTTCCATTGTTTAATTATTCTGTCAGGAAAGTTCTCCTTAGTTCTAGGTTGGTTCTCTCCTTGATTAGTTTCTATTCATTGCTTGTTCTACCTTCAGGTGCTTTGGCAGCCCCTTAAATATTGGAACACTGCTTTTTTTTTTTCGGCTGATGTCCAAAACAGTAAAACTAGGAAAATAGGTAATATTATGTCTAACATATGAAAATGTCTGCCACCCAAAGTCATCAAAGAAACTGGACAACCTTATAAATTTGAAGCTTTCAACTGAAAGTCATGAAAAACATTTTTAAGCAATTCCTAAGTTTAAATGTCTGTTTCTAAATTAAAACATTTCTAAAACATTGTGAAGTATGGTTATCATGCTGAGTTAAAATTACTTAAGACCAATCAAATATATTTGATTGATTGATTGAATAATTGATTGATTGATAGAGAAAACTTGATATTGCTGAACTAGAAATGGGAGGCTGTGAGTTCTAGTCCTACCTTAATGGCTTGTTAAATCATTCTTATCTAGTCCAACTTACTTCTTAGGTTTGTTGTTTTGGGGAGTTTTATTCCCTTTTAATCATCTGTGTTACAACAGATGCAGATACCTTTGTAAAGAAATATATTTAATGTATTTACATTTCATTTTTTTCATATATAGAAGTGGATTAATTAAAAACTTAAAAGATTTATTGACTAAGATATTTTTCAATGGGTAAGATCTGCTTTAATCATATTTTATAATCCTTTGGAAGTCATAGAACTGTCATAACGTTTTTAGAACCGTTAAGCTTTTTTGTTAAATAAATAATTCTGAGATTTTTTTGTAGATTAACAGGAAACTACAAGAACTTCAGGAAGTCTATCAAAAAGTCAAAGAGGAAAATGATATTCTTAATATGCAGTACCAAATGTTAACAAGTGAAGAAGATCATTTTCGCTCTGAAAGAGACAAGCTAACAGCAGAGTACGTTAGTCCTTCAGCTTGATTTTAATTTCATAATACTTAAAATTATAATCCAGTTGTTAGGTACTTTGGAGTAAACAGCCACATCTGAATTGCATGATAACCTAAATAGGATCTCACCACAGTACAAGGAGTGATATTTTTATTTAAAACCTATATGTCTGATGTTGTCAAAAATATTTTACCATAATTATTTTACCATAGTTTATATATCCACCTTATTTAAGGAAAGAAATAAGTAAAAAATAATTTTTGCTTCAAATTATCCAGGGGTAGCCATTCTGTGTCTTATACTAAGTGAGTCAGTAATTCAATTTAAGCAAACACTCCTACTTTCTGTTAGGAAATATATATCCTATAATTATATTATTTTTATAATTTTATTATTTTTGTATTTTTAAAACTTTTAATCTTAAATTAATTATGGTTTTAATGTTAAATTTATTGATTATATTGTATATCACCCAGAGCCCCTCTCTGAGGGAGATAGGCAGTTAAGAAATAGGAAATATAAATATGTATTATAGGAAATATCAATCAATTAATCCTATGAGCCATGGTGGTGGAGTGAGTTAGAATGTAGTATCTATCCATAGCCAGGAGTTCAATGCTGACCGGCTCAAGATTGATTCAGCCTTCCATCCTTCTAAAGTCGGGAAAATGAGGACCTAGATTTTGGGGGGCAGTACACTGACTCTGTAAACTGTTAGAGAGTGCCGCAAAACACTATGCAGCAGTATATGTCCTATTACTATTGCTAAGTACTGTATACTTAGCATTCAACCAGTGACAGCACCTTGCTGAACTTGGCTGCTCCCAAAAAGCTAAGAATATAGTAATCTAGAAGATACAAGGATTATCCCATGTGGTTATGAGTAATCTTTACCTTTTAAATAGTTTTAATATGGAAATAAATTCCCAGAAAAAACTGTGTTTTTCTCCATAAGCAAAATTTTCAAAATGAGCTGCTGGTAATTCCAAGTTAATGTTTGCAAACTGTTGAATATTGCTAATCTGACTTTTAGTTAAGGATGGCCCTGAAGGCAGAGTTGTTGTGTCCCAACAACAATAATTGTCTACAGTAGGAACTGGTAGTACTACTTATACTAGTAGTGTATAGGTACTGTATAAATGATTTCATCTGAATCCCTCCTCCATGGAATAATAGTCTATATGAATTGGGAAAAGGGGTCCGTCATGGAAGCCTATGCTGGGCTATCTGAATAATATTCTAAATATAATAGGAAATCATGTTTTTGACATTCTGTAGCCTGTACTCTTGTCATTTTGTGATTAGTTAATTGTTTGAAACAGCTCTCCTTTTACTGCTTCCTGATTGTATCAACAAATTAGCCTCTGTTCTCTCAGATTTTAAAGATTTTTCTTGGAATAATTATTTTCTTAATCTCAGCTTTTATATATATATATTGGAAAACTACCCTAGGAAAGTACTTTTTCATGGTTGGTTAGCCATTTCCTTAATAAAATGGTACACATATAAAGAATTATTTATAAATGTGTTATAAATATTTAATTAAATCTCATTTTTTCAAATAGATTTGAAAAGTTATCCAACTGGCTCACAGAAAGACTTGACTATATGGCAAAGCGTGTAATAGAGACAAAAAATACACAGGATGAGCTGGATGAAATCCAGGATGTATATGAGTAGGTTATTTCATTTCATATATACAAAGTATCTTGCTGAAAAGAGATTTTTTTTATTTCTAGTTAAGCTTCAGCGAATCAGAAATGTAATAAGAACTGATATACTGCAATTAAGGGGAAAAATTTGCAAACCAAGTTGTTATAAAATTAGATAAAAGCTCAGGCAAAAGTATAATTTAGTATCATGAAACTGAAATAAATGTTCGGTTTACAATATTGTGTGTAAGTAGTTCCAGATTAAAATAAACATTCTTGATGTATTTGAAATCAGAAAATATACATTTGATTCTTCATTGTTTAAAATCTTTTTTTAATTTTCTGGTTGGTTGTAAGTTTGAAAAATGTAAAACAACACTGTATTATACCACACATATTGCATCATTATATATTGTTGCAGGAAGGGGTAAAATGAGATAACCATTTTTGTTGAAAAAGAAAGATATTATACACTTCATCTATCTATCTAAGGATCCAACCTTGGATATCTTATTGCTACCAGTTAATGAAGAGTTGCATTTACCATGAAGGACTTTAGTCAGACATCTGACAAATTAGGCAGACAGCTCTTCCTATGTACAGCATGAAAATGTTATGTTACATTATTCTAAATCAGAGGTAGGCTCTCTACTGCTCATATGTCTCTCCAGTGGCTCTTTAGCACTTTTCTTAAAGACACCAGGACTTAAATATCATTCTATTGTCCCTTCCTCCTGAGGAAGTGATGGTTAATTCTATGTTTTTGTTTTTGAAAAAGTACCTCAATTCCAACTTTCTGTTTTCACTATTTAAAAGGTAAAAAAATCAAAAGCATCTGTTAAACCCTGTAACTGGCAAACCAAAGAAGCAAGAACCATACAGAATTGTGAAAGGCTTCCAATGCTAGTCAGATATTAAAAACAGAATTTTAAAAACTTTAACTTCCAAGACAAACTTACAATGAGTCAGTTTAGTCCAAATATTTTTCAAATTCTTCTCATAGCCCACATATCTGGTTGGGTTGCCTCTTCTCATATAAACTGAGTTCCTTCCCTTCCTCCTTCCCACAGTCTCTCAGGATCAAGGAGGAGTTCCTTAACATGCTAATTGGTAAAAGATGGGCTAAATGTCCAATTTCTAAGATTTTGTAACTTAAGCCTTTTTTTTTTGCCTAAACCTGAACTACAGTACAAAATTTTGTCAGAAAGTCTAATTCTTTGTTACTTTTAGAGAGATTGATAAGAACAGTAGATCTGCCATCACGTAGCCTGTCTTTTTTCATACACACACACAAACATGCACACATATTCACAAACATGTTCTCCTAACTTTATCCCCAGTTTTCATATTTAAAAAAAACCCCATTTTTTCATGTCATGTATCCTTCCAGTTGGGTCCCATACATGTCTATTTCTCTGTGCCAGGAGAACCATTCTAAATACTGAATAGATTAGTAGGTATTTTGACCTCTGATGGTAGTACTCAGTCACTCATTTAACTTGAAAGTTTTTGAAGAAATTATAAAATTATGCAATTATCTTTAGTTATTAAATTAACCTTATTGGCCATTTTTCCCCAGGACATATAAAACAAGAGTCACTTTCTAAGTGAGATGGGTAGTCCCTAATTTTGATATATAAATAAATAAATGGTGTAAACTGCAAGATTTATTATAACAAAACTTCTGATAAATTAAAGTACATCTTTCTTTGGATAATCATAACCTAAAATGTGGGGAATAGGAGTGGTCAAAATATTACTATATAAATAGTATTGGGGAATCCTTTAAGGATTTTTTTTAAATTCATACCTCCACTTAATTATACCAACAAAGTATTTTAACTCATTTCTATGAAAGGGGCTTTACAGCAGTACTGTATATTGATTATGAATGTTTAAATTTTTGTGTTAAAGTTTTTGCATAAGATCACTTACCCCAAAAAGAGATACACATTGCTTTTTAAATGTATATATATCTATTTATATAAGTCCCTAATTTATTCAGTAGGGTTGGTTTGTCTTATTTGGATTTCTGTTTAATTATTCATTTAATCTGTTTCTTTAATTTTCAATGTTTTGTTGATCACACTATGTTAAGTAAAACTGAAAAAAATTATACTTGTTTCAGCTCTACACATAGTAGCTATGCAAGAGAACTGGCACTTTTAGAAGCATCGTTGAAAAAGGAAAGTGATAAAAGGTACACTATTCTGTGAACATTGTTGTTGTTGTTAATTGCGAAGTCGTGTCCGACCCATCGCGACCCCATGGACAACGCTCCTCCAGGTCTTCCTGTCCTCTACCATCTTCTGGAGTCCATTTAAGTTCACACCTACTGCTTCAGTGACTCCATCCAGCCATCTCATTCTCTGTCGTCCCCTTCTTCTGTTGCCCTCAATCTTTCCCAGCATTAGGCCCTTCTCCAGTGAGTCCTTCCTTCTCATTAGGTGGCCAGAGTATTTGAGTTTCAACTTCAGGATCGTGAACATTGTTACGAAGTGACAAACAAAATTGGGGTCAATTGCTAGTATGGTGGAAAATGTATACATTTCCAATTCCCCACATACTGCCAAATAAATTCTATTTATAAATAGATATATGTATTTGCTTACTTACTTACTTTATTTGTATGCTTTCTGTTCCTGAAAGCTCTGGGCAGCTAATAATTAGAAAGATCATTAAGCAACCTTACTATTTAATAATAAACTACCAAGTAGAACATGAAGTAAATTGAGCCTATTTTGTTTATAATTGTGCCCTGAGCATGTCAGCACAATGACTACACATCCCAGTTTGGCAGAATATAGGCAAGATAATATTAGTTTGCAAGGTAGCCCCTGAACTGGAGATCTTACTTGCCTACAGCAGATGAGCCTGTTTGGGGTGCAACTGTTCTTTGATGGTATGCACCACCTTAAGGGAATGCTGTATGTGGCTTGATATGACAAAGGGTATAACTTTCTTCATCTTATTCAAAAGCAAAGTCTTGATTGACTAAAGCCATAATACATGGTGGAGCCCAATATCGTGGGCCTGTCTGTTGATAACCATGACATATGAAAATTGTGACTTGGAGTGTTAGAGGAGTATAGTGTAAAGATAATGAAATAAAATACAAATAAAGTTGTTTGTAAAACTAAGAGAAGCGAGTGAAAGTGGTCTGATCATGTAGAATAGAGTAGATGAATGGAAGTGAAGGTGTAGATTTAGTAATGAACATGCAATTATTTTTACACAATTAAACACCACATAGTTTGTGCAGTGAAAATTCAGGTAGTCCTCGACTTACAACCACAACTGAGCTCAAACATTCTGTTGTTGAGTGAGACATTTGTTAAGTGAGTTTTGCCCCATTTTACAACCTTTCTTGCCATGTTGTTAAGTGAATCACTGCAGTTGATAAGTAAGTAACACAGTTGCTAAGTGAATCTGGCTTCCCCATTGATTTTGCTTGTCAGAAGGTTGCAAAAAAAGGGATCACATGACCTTGGGACACAGCAATGGTCATAAGTAAGAGTCAGTTGCTAAGCATCTGAATTTTGATCACATGATCATGGCAATGCTTCAAAGGTTGTAAGTGTGAAAAACAATCATAAGTCACTTTTTTCAGTGCTGTTGTAACTTTGAACAGTCACTAAAGAGACAGTTGCAAGTGGAGGACTACCTGTACTACGCAAGATATACACTGCGAAAATATATAAAGTCCCATACATGGGGGCATGACATAATAAAACATCTGAATCTCTCTGCTCTGTGAGCTTAGGGGAAGGTGAAGTGTATGTACCATTCTGATAGCATTTCTAAGATACTCCTTCATTCAGCTGCAAAAAGAATAATGAAAAAGTTATGCCCACTATTGATCTATTAACTTGATGTCACTGTCTCTTTTCATTTATTCAGTGATTGTGAATTGTATGTGTTTTCTCCTTTGCTACTAGAGATGCGTTTCAGATCGAACTTAACAAAATTACAACTGTCTTTGAAAATTTACTGGAAGCCAATGAACTATTTCTGAGCGAATCAATGCAAAACCTTGAAGCTCTGAAAAAATCGTATAATAAGTTAAAAAAGGAGGTATAATACCTATTAGGGTACTAACACCAAATCACACTGTAATATCGATTTTCTACAGATACAGCATTTTGGGGCCATTTTATATGTACTGTATATATACACACATGAATTTATGGATCTGGTAAGTATCATTGCCACTGCTTCAAATATTGCTACATATTCATCAAATGGAGTCTTGTATCCGCCCTCATCTCAGTGTTTCTCACTGAAAGGTATTGAGAAATCCCCACCATCTCCCTTGGTCTGTGGAGAGAAACTTGTGCTTAAGGAGGGTTGGAAAAAACCTGTGGATGAAAGGTTACAATCACATTAGTAGGTGTAACACAAGAAAGGATTTCAGGGAACGGTCGGGATTGATTTTGGATCCAGTGGAGAGGGCTTAATATAAGCCACTGAATAAAGAAAAGTAGATCCTGATATTTGAAAAGCGTTTATTGTTGGAATAAAGAGAGGTAGACAAGATTTTAGCTGTATCCCCCTCTGCACTTTTTCTGTAATGCTAGTTTGCAGCATTTGGGTGTTTGATTTCTGACATAAATTAACAAAACTAAAGTTTGATTTAGAGTTGTCTGCAACTGCATGCAGGCGTCGCCTCATACCTATGTCATGTGTCTGATTAACGAAATGCTTCAAAGAGCCTTCAGACATTTTTTTAACCTAAAAAGCCTTTATTAGTGTTACAGAGATGTCAGCACGGCATGGTGGAATGCTAAAATCTGAATTTCCCTTCCTTTGCACATAACATTCCAGGCATTTTCCCTCCCGTATTTTGGGGTCATGATTCACTTCTTCCAATTAACTTGGGGGGCAAAATTTACTTCAGTTTCTTTTTCCCTGGCTTTCCTTATATTCTCCTCCCCTTTCACTGTCACCTGATTTAACTCTAAAAATACCAGACAGTTCTGCATATATTGTCAAAGCAAGAATATTCAATATTAGCAGCGTTGACAACCTACACTACGAAGGAGTTGATGAGTAAGTGTAGGTTGCAGATGGCTGCAGATGGCTGATGCGCACACTTCCCAAATCCCAAAATGCAGAGATGCATGTCCTGTGTGCTGATTGGTTGATCCAATTTCCTGTTCTGTGTTTTGCTATTTGAGTGTCCCCTAGCCAGAATGTTACATTTGCAGAAACATAAATGGAACACTTATTGAAACCTTCCCTGAATGACAAACATATATGTCCCTTGGCGTGCAGTGTTGGAGAAGTTTGCTCGATCCTTAAGTTGAATGAAAATAGTTTAGGGAATGAAGAGACAAAATTATCTTTCATTTGAATCAAAGAAGAGGCCTGCTTTCTCAGGAATAACCATATGAGAAGTAGGCATTGCTCTCCTTCTGAAGCCTGTCTTCATTTCAAATTGTCTACCAGGCTTCTGAATATGCCTGAACAAAAACTTAATGCCAGGATAGCACAAATAGGTATTTAGTAAAATAAGTTGGTACATTAGAACTAGAGTATATTTTCTCCCAAGTTTTGATCATTGAAATGAAAACTGCAACACAGAACAGAATTAATAGCAGATTTTTTTATTAAATATTGTTTCCATAAATGCCAGACTGAAATGAAATCTCAACATCTGCACATTCGTATAGACTTGCAAATTATTAGAAGAGATTTATGTTTCTTCTTTCTCATATTTCCTTCAAATAGAATGAACGTCTCAATAAAGACATAAAGAAGTATACTGAGCGTCTGAAACATCTCACTTCCAAACTGCAAAAAAAAGAAGCCTATTATAAGAAACATGATGCTGAATTAACAACAGAAATTGAAAAAATTGAGGCAAGTGATTTGTATTTTAATACATTTTTGCAGCTGTCTTATATTATGAAATAAATTTGACTATAAATACATAAGTAGCCAGCCCATTTAGAATCAAAAGGGAATAGAAATAGTTTTTTGAAAAATCAGAGTGGTGGGAGAATGCACTTGTGAATCAAGAGCTTGCATTGGTTAGGGTTGGAGTGGTTTGAATTGTTTGCTATGGGCTGCTAGGATAAGAAGAATTCAGTTTTTTGAAGCTTTTTGATGTGAGACTTCCTTTAGATAGAAGCTTTAAAGTAAAAGCCATGCATTTCTTGAATACCAAGTTCACCCTAAATTCAAAATGACTGGAGAGAGAACTAGAGAAAAAAAGGTATAAAGAACTACTAAAGTTAGGTCAGAATAACATATAGATAATAGCTGTAATTTATTTTATTCAGATATAAGCACAAATCGTACAACTGGATTTTAAGTGACTTCCATTTTTTTCTGTTTCATTTCAATTCCAGATTATTCCTCTAACATATAAGTCAGAAACAAATGCTTGTTTTCTATTTCAATTCCTAGCATACCAGTCAAGCATAATAACTGACTCAGATTTGCAGCTAACGTGGAATGGAATGGAGAGACAATGGAGTCAGTGATAAAAAAAATCAAATTGGTGTTAAAATGGCAGGAGAAATTTGATTGGTCATGTAAGAGATTTTTAGAAGACAAGGATTTGCTTGTGGATAGGGGAATATTAAACCTGATGACAGGTGGGGAAGTTACAGGGCTTCTAGGTGGAGAAGTAAAGAAGTGGCTTGTTGGGTTTGTATCCAAGACATCTTCTGGAAGAAGATACAGCTATGAAATCTAAGTAATCTTATTGAGCATCCCAAGATTCTGAATTTAGCACTGTTCTGTAGGCTGGAATTAACCTCACAGATGATTGCATTGCACACCAATAGGCTTCCAAATGCACTTCAAGTGCTGGTTATCAATTACATCATAGGTTATCTGAGGGACTGCCTGTTTCCTATGGTCTCTGCCTGTCTAGTAAAACCAAATCAAAATTGGTGGATGTTTTTTGGTCTTGTTTTCATGTTTTAAATCATTCGTAAACTGCTCAGAGTGCTGGGAGTCGACATATACATTTAATAAATAATAATAATAGAATTGATGTGTGTTGGATTTCCTCGAAGGCATGCCTTTTCTGTTGTGATGCCTACCCTTAGAAACAATGTCGCCAGAAATCTGTGTATCCTATCCCGATGATGTTCCACAAATCTTCAAAAACTTGGTCATGCTCCCTTTAGGATAAACTGTATGGGTGGTTGGTTATTGTGTTATTGTCCAGATGCCTAAGTACTTTTATTGTTGTCCTACTTCAAGCATAAGCCACCCAGTTATTCTGCTGTTGAGTGGTTTCTAAATCAGTCAATCAGATGATAGACAGACAGAGTAAACTTTAATCAATTTTGTTATAGTATCATGTTAGAATACTAGGATGCTCATTACATACCACTTTATGTATACATTCTTCATTACATTTTCTTTCCTAAAAGGAAGAATACAACTCTAAAACAAAACGTATGGAAGAAATGGAAGAAAAACTACAAAAGAATGTTCCTCTCGCTGATGAATTGCAAAAAGAATTAGAAGAAATAAGCACCAATTACACAAAACAAAAGGAAATGTATAATGGTATATACATGGACTGTAGGAAGTCTTCCTGTGTAATTCATCAGAGTGCAAAAAAGTGCAAAAAAAGAAAATAATCCAACTTTAAAGTAGTTGTTTTCTTCTAACTGTTAATCGTACTTTCCTGAGTGTTGGAGTTGCCATCTCTTGATGATAAACCTAAGATTTTGCATAGTGGACAAGTTTGTTTTAAGAGTTGTAATTTTATTTTTTTACGGCACATTAGGTTTTATTGAGTATTTTATTTAGATTATATCAGGGAGAAAAATCATACTATAGACCCATGCCAGTCCTAGCTGGTCAGGGCTTCTCAGGAAGTGATCAGCCACTTCTGTAAGATTATGCTACTATGACCTAATCATAAAAACAGTATTAGCTTGTGTGTCTTTGGTACCAAGTTTCATCTACATTAGATGGCTGACCTTGCAGGTCTGAATTCACTTTGGCACTCTCTTTTTCTTCATAAGAACTATGGGGAGTCAGGTCCCAGATATTTTTGCTAATTACATATTTGTTCTAGTCTCAAGATTTATTTAACCTGATTATTGTATTGTTATAGCTCTTTTTCCTGTTCCTCAAATTTCTTGTTTGTGCCCATTACATTATGGGACTGTCTTTCTTTGATTTCTTTTAACTGATAAGTTATGGAAGAATTGTTGTGGTCTAGGTCCCAGCTTTAAACCACTGTTATCTTGTAGGATCTGACAGGCATGTCTTGTGTGCCTGCCCTATAGAACTGTCTTCCCTGAGATCCATATGGCTCCATCCTTGTTGAACTTGTAAAGCCTAACCTGTCTTCAGGCCCAGAGAGACAAGGAAGGGCTTGTTACCTGATAGCTATCAAGTACAAAATGTGTCTATGTTGTTATCCCCTGATGCTCATCATATATTCTATGGAAGATTATTTGATTTTGGTGGCATTTTACTTGCGATTTTAAGCCTATTATATGTTACTTAGAGACATTTTGTGATGGAGCTGACGTTCAAGTCAACAAATAAATAAATACGAACCCAAATATTAAGGACATCAAAATGCATTTTCTGAATGCTCCCTTTCTGAAACAAGTTGGGTAGTTTCCAGTGAGAAGACTTTGGTTGTGTCTGAGGTCTGTTTACTTTTATTAGGTGCCAAATGAAAATCTGTCCTCCTTCCCTTTTAATAGAATTTATAACATATTTAGAATTTGTGAGGTTTGTGATAGTGCTAAATGAGATAGCTACTTTAAAAAGTGGCTGTATTTCCATGTTTTTACTACATTTATTTTAGATTTTGCAGCAAGTTCTATATTTAGGTTAGATATTGTGGGCATGAGTTTAGTAGGTTGGCCAATAATTTTCACTAATAAGTAATTTATAGGTATCCTAATTAATTTCCTTCCCTCTTATAGGTATCCTAATTAATTTCCTTCCCTCTTGTGGGTTATTTCCTGAACCCCTCTAACAAGCTGTGTTACTGTAGCTTATATGAATTTAACTTTTTCTCCTCTGCTTATTTATAGAATTACGAGATGAAGAAAGCGCACTTAAAGCAGGCATAGAGCAATCATTAAGGGAAATTACGAGACTTGAAAGACAAAAGGTAAGCAGGCATAATTTGTGCTTCTTCTTCTCAATAAGCATAAGTGTACTTAGTATTTATTTACCTCCTTTGGGATTATATTACATAAATCACTTCTTCTCATATTCTAACCTTCATCTAAATTCTAAAATCATTAAATATTTTGTTCAGGATCAGCAAACAATCCATAAAGGGTACTCAGAACTTTATAAAATTATTTATTTCAACCCTGATGAAATAGGTTAATTCTACATTCCTTTGTTTTGCTTCTAACAATCTTACCCTTTATTTCATTAAAATGCTACCCTTCACCCAAATTTTCTTTCTCTCATCTCAGAATTTTTTTATGTCTTTAACAAACCTCTTTTGCAAATAGAATAATCGCTCATTATCCATTACCTCTTGGATTATTATTTGTATTTCCACTTTAGCTTTCATATCTGTCTTATAGTCTACAACTTCTACTTTATTTTCTGATATTTCTGAATAGGTTAGCATTTGTCAGTCATCCTGTCAGCCTATACATTTTTTCAACTTATTCTCCTTCATGCTTCTCTAACTTTTTTTTGAATAATGCATTTGTATAAGCAGATATTGTTGCTATCAATGTAACTGTGAGCTTCTTTCTCATTTCTTCATAAATCCTTTGAAGTGACTGCAATGTAGTATGACAGTTATTTTTGTAAATGTCATTGCTGATCATCAAATTCAAAAACAGAAAACAGACTTTTCTTTCCCTCCCCCTTTCTGGGGTCTTTAGTCCCCACTAATGTCTCATTTCTGTATCATGTAGTCTGTCTCAAATTTTTTTTTTGCTGTTTTTTTAAAAAAAGCCTATTATCTCTTTCATGAAAGACTATACAATTGTTGTTCACACAAAGTTAGTTTTGTGTTAATTATTGCAAAAGTCTTATAGCAAAAGTCACAATATTTCAAACATTAAATATTTCCAATTTGTCTGGTCCCTTAGTTCATTTCAAACTTCAATCTTAAATTGTTAATTAATTTTTCCCTTCTTTTGGGAATGAAGGATCATTCACCTGATAGTTTTTCACATTACTGCTTGGAAAATCTTTTTGAACTTTAAATGTTATATTCAAAACATAACAAAGTGAAGCTTGACAAATACAGGGTTCATACTCTCTGCATTGTGGTTTTCCTTGACTCCTGGAATTCAAACCCATAAATTGACTGCTGTCCTATGGTCTCTTCATAAAGAGCAGCCATGTGGACCACAAGTGGGCAATTTCTTATCCTCTCTTTATTCAGAAAGACTCCACTGGAACAGATTTGTCATTGTTCTTGGCCACAGTGTTGTTTGTCATTGTTCTTGGCCACATTTTACCTTGCCAGTCTGTCACTTGGAAGTTGGCTCCATTTACACTTTTTGAAAAACAAGGGGAGCCCAGAAGGTAGAATAATGATGCAAATTATGTGAGACTGTTCTCCCTTTTATTGCATGTGTGGTTTCTTTACGTTAAATCTACTGTAGAACTTCCACAATTTTTTATGCCTCCAAAAGATTAGAAATTTTGCCTCAAATTTTCAACAATAGTGGGTCAATAACAGTTCTGAGAGACTCCAAATAGGCCTCAGGGCATATGTGTAGACAGAACACATTCTCTCTAGCCGCCTGCCCCCAGATAAAATAGGGATTAACATAAGACAAACAACCAGGCAGAAAACCAAGGAGAAAACCATATTCCCATCAAAACTGGCAGGGCAGTTATTACCAGGTTTAAGTAATGAAATGTCTGCAAAAAGTTCAGAGAGCACCAAGGATTCTATAACTAAGTTTAATTCAAGGTAGCATCCATTCTGTAAACCAGCTTTGCTGGTTGCAAGCTACAGCTGGGCAAATTATTGGAGAGGATATTCACCCTTATACTCTATAATTTGCTATTACCGGTAAGTGTGTTGATTGAAAAAATGACACTGATCAGTACTGGGAAATTGTATCAATGGTGATTAAAACTAAGTACTGTGTTAATTGTTACATTAATCAAGGATATGGTAGTGCAACGGGTTAAAGATGTTGTCGGTACTCCGGCGCTTTGAGCCCATGGCACCGTGTGATGGAGTGAGGCCACATCATTTGCCCCTAGCTCTTGCCCACCTAGCAATTTGAAATCATGTAAAAATCTAAGTAGATAAATAGGTGGGACTTCCCACTCGGGTGGGAAAACTAGCAGCATTCCAAGTGGAAGCAGGAGCTGGCGCCAAACCTGCCTAGATGTGAGATGAGGTCAGCAGAAGAAAGCCCGAATGAACTGACATCTCCCAAATGCTGCTAATCAGCTGGTATGAAGCTAGTTTACCGCCTATGATGCACTGTGGATAGTGCACATGTGTGAACAAATGAACTAGTAATCTTAGGCTGCCCAAACTATTCTGTGGTAAAAAGCATTGTCGACTTCCCTAGCTATGTACACTGTATGCTAATTTTTTTTTACATTAATCAATTAATTATTTAGATTAATTCATAATTCAGGTAATTAGTGATTCAGGAAAAGAATTACAAGCATGAATGTAATGCTCTGACTTGTCAAGACTTCTTGAATGCAATAGTTACAAAAACATACAATAATACTAAATTTGCTGCTGATATTACCTTTCTTTTCAGTGGATATTTTATTGTTATTGTTTTTTTATTGTTATTGTTTGTTTTATTCTTCAGTATTCTAATTTGGTGTGCTTTCTTGCTTTGAAAATGAAGTTTCCAGAAAAAAAAAATCACCCAGTAATGTTTCAATTTTTTCTTCTTTCTCCCAAGCAATCATCAGTCAGCAAGACTTTTTAAAAGATTTATGATCCAAATATTTTTGTAAATATTATGAAACCTTAGGGCCAGAATTTGTCCAACTTTTGTTCTTGGCAATCTTTCCTTTGTATCATGTTCCTAAGATTATAACTACATAAGATGCATCAATATTTGCTAACAGATAACTGCAAAGACTGAACTCAAGAGGAGCAGAGAGATAGCATTTGAGCAACTGACAAGTTCTACATTTTCTGTTAAGTTTATTGAGAGAGACAACTATGAAATAGATAGAATGATCTTCATTTTGAAGGGAGAGAATGCCCGGTTAAGAGCTGTGAGTATTTTGAGAAAGGAATACTTTTGCATAGCAATCTGACAAGACTTTACACTGGCAATTCTGGAAAGGCAGACAGCAGGAAGACATGGTAAAAATGCCATTTTGTACCCATTGCTACCTTTCAGTGGTTTGGATTATGTAAGAAAAAATTGTATTTTGCATGGGGTTGCCAAACTAGAAATATTGGCTAAAATGATATTATGGTTTATTTGTGTTATGACACCAGATAATCTGTGTTCTTTTTCCAAGTAAATTAATTCTACAATATATGAGTTTTTAAAATGTCAGGTGATCTTCCAGCAGTCATTTTGATGATCAAATGATGTTGTTTTAAGAAATTGTATGTATTATTAAACTTATATGCCACTCATCTACAATTGGGTGGCATATAAATTTAATAATAATAAAATTATAGCTTTAAGAACAGATGTTAGATTTGTTGGTAGCAGCACCCAGCTAGTTTTGGTTGGTCACAGAAAAGCTAAAAAAAAAAAAAAAAAAAAGCTTGGCTTCATTAGAGAATTAGATTAGACTGGAAAGTCAGAAAAAACAATTGGAAGAAGGCAATGGCAAGTCACCTCTAGATTAGTTCCAAGAAAACATAGCCAGTGCGGGTAGTTGCCAATAATTGAGTTTGGGTTGAGATTTTTTAAATCTGATTTGCTTGCTTGCTTGCTTGCTTTCTTCAACCATCCCTAATTCTTATTCACTACACAACACATATTTTTAAATTTGAAGTTGCAGGATAGATTGTCAGTTTTGTAATTTATAAAAGCTAATATAGTGAAATCTCCAGCTAGAATGGGGGGGAGGAGTGAAGAGACTGGCAAGCTTAGAGACCTGGCATAGCAGGAAACAACACAGACCTGACCAGAATCCTTGAAACTTTTATCTGACTGTTCCGAAGAGAACGCAGTCAGTCTGGCAAGTTTAATGTCAGGTGTAAGGAACCAGAGCAGAACTGTGATCAGAATAGATTCTTTACGGTTGCTTGCCTATTTACAAGAATCTTGCCAGGCTGACTGCATTAATAGCTTCTACACGAATGTTTTATTTCTTTGGCTGTATCCTTAAAGGGCATTGCATATCTCAAAGAAGATATCTCCACAATAGATGAGGAGGCAAAGATCTATCAGTCAAAGAGGCAACAAATCCAGAGTGGTAAAAAAGTTCTTTATGGTAAGTGTTATTTAGCAGGAATGTCTACTGTAGCGGAAATGAATAATTTTTTGTATGAAAATGAACTAAAACAATCCATAACAATAGAGACATATGTAGGGCTTTCTTCGTAAAATGCTAGGATATGGTTTCATCACTATTTTTCCTAAATTTAATAGAAGTTCAGCTCCTATACCCATAGAACTTTAGCCCAAAGGGAAATGGACACACTGCATACATGACCGGCATACATGACCGGTGGCAGATGATTGCCAGTGCTGTGGCATCCCCTTTTCTGAGATATGATGGTTCCTTAATGGATATCTTGCATTAACATAAAGAAATTGTGGAAAGTAGTGTTCCACAGAAGAGATTTAATGAACAAATACAGGGTCTATATACACATATGCAATTGTTGGGAAAGTTTCCAATTAAAAATCTAAGGAAAAGTTTCATTATTAAGAGCCAAACAAGAATATTTGATCCTGGACAGATCAGAGATAATGATTGGGGTGATTTGTGGTAAATAAGAAAACATTGTAGACTTTCTACAAGTAAATTACAATAACAGACTGTTACATAAGACTATGAACTTTAACTTTGTTGTTGTTTAACCTATTAACTATTTTTCTTTCATACATACATATATATATATATATATATATATATATATATATATATATATATATATATATATATATATATATAATATAAGACAGGTCAAGTGGATTGTAGAAACTTATAAATTTTGGACTTGCTTTGCAAAGGGGAAGCTATTATTGCTACAATAGATTTGTCAGTGTTCAACTAGGGGAGATATTAGGGTTTTATTTTTTGTCCTTCATATTTTTAATGTTTTGTCTAGTTTTGTCTCTGTTAAATTGTTTTTTTCTTTTGGATTTTGCATTTTAATCTTTTGAATAAAGTAAAAAACTTTAAAAACAAAATTACTTTTATTATCATGGCTGTTAAATAGTTGTTTTCAAATAGTATTTAATTTGAATACCATTATGGAATCTTAAGAAAAAAAGACATCACTGAGAAGTTTTTCCCTGCAGGAAGGAGTGAAGGTGTTAAAAAGGAACTGAAGTTAAGGTTCCTTATGGTGCCTTCAGTCTCTCAGAACAACCCTGTCTTCAACTGTGCTTTAAGTAATTAGATGTCTGCCTATAGACTCTGGTATCATTTACAAAACATGGCTTAAGTTAATTAGCATTTTAAAAAATCTGGATGTCCTATATGTTTAATAAATGCGGTTTAAAATATCATTTAATATATTACTGCATATTTAAATGTGTTATTTACTTCTTTTAAAATATATATTGTCATCTATTTTCATTTATACTATAAAATTCTTGTTTTAGAATTGTTTGTCAAGAAGTGGATAAAGGATGAACATCTACAAAAGGTATATTGTGATATTACCTGGAAGCTGTGAGGGTTTGGATGGGGGATAATTTATGGTTAACAGACTTTGTTTAATGTCTGACTTTATAGATGGCAATCAGGAGGATGTGATATAAAATCCCAGTTAGATTAAAATGCACAAGCCCATTTCTGTGGTACTACATGTATTTAGTATCAAGGATGGAAAACAATTTATATTAAAAAAAGAAAAAAAATAAGAACCATAGTTCCCTTCAAATGTGATGTGATGTGATGTGATTAAAAATAAACACCTGGCTGATGATAACCAGCATAAACTAAGGCTAAAATACCATTTGAATGGGGGGAAAAACAGTAAAATTTAATTCTGCCAATTTGGTAGCCTGTGATGACTCGGCGGTTAAAGACGCAGAGCTTGTCAGCTGAAAAGCTGACAGTCCAGGTTCAAGACCCGAGCGCTGTGGGATGGGGTGAGCTCCTGTTACTTGCCCCAGCTCCTGCTCACCTACCAGTTTGAAAGCATGCAAATGAGAGTAGATAAATAGGTACCACTTTGGTAGGAAGGTAACAGCTTTCTGTGCATCTTGATACATGGTCATGTTGCTCACATGACCGCAGAAGTGTCTTCAGACAACGCTGGCTCCCTTGGTTAAGAAACGAACATAAGCATTGCCCCCTAGAGACAGACATGACTGGAAAGAAAAAAACCTTTACCTATCTTGCTACATATTCTGTTACTCTTCATGATAGCAAGAAAAATAATGCCTTTTTTCTCCCCCTTGTGGCTTTGTTAAAACTTAAAGCACAGCTATTGTTTAAGAACAAGCCATTTTTGAGAGCTTCTTTCTCTTTTTAACAGCTTCAACTGATTAATCTAGTTAAATAGAAGGCTCTTTTAACTATCCTAAGACTTGGAATCTCATATCATTCTAAATTTAAGGAATCATTGTAGCTATACTTCTCCCACTATTTTTATATCAAACTTATTTACTTATTTATACAAACTTATTTATATCAAACTTATTTAAAATTCATGTTAAATATTTTAGAAGAATCCAAGCATGTTTTTAAAAAGTGAAGAAAATTCAGCTTTTCTCTTTGCAATAAAAAAAATATTTACTTATTGTTTTTATTTTATTGCAGATATTTTTTAAGTACCAGCATGAGCTCCTGATTATTCTGGAAGAATATGTCAGAAGAAATACAAAGAGAAATATTAAGCTTGACTATGTTCATGAAGGACTACAGCTAAACTATGAAGAGATGGATTCTCTGTTAAGAAGCAAATCTTTGCCAGATGCCGACAAAGTAAGCATTTTGGGGAAGTGCCAAATATTTGTTAAAAGTATGTGTTGGGAAAGCAAAAATTACCTTTTTTAAAATAGATTCTTCACAGCTTATATATGTCACAGAATACCAGAAAAAAAATGTCTTACTCTATCAAATTTGGAACAGTAGATGCTAGTTTCTTAGCACTATTTTTTTATTTGGGTGTTAGGACAAAATACCATATCCTTTATTAATACATTTAGAAAAGAACACAAAGTATGCAAGTTGGTTGCTACTAAATGTTTTAAAAAAAATCACCTATCCAATAAAATTCTATTTTTTCATCTCTAGAAGAAAAAAAAGTTAAAATCCTTATTAAGGATTAAGCTGTTTTCAACACAGTTTCTCTAATATAAACTCTGGAAATCCCAAGAACTGCATAAATGGTTGCTTTGTGCCTTTGCACAGTTTCTTCTGAGTCTGAAAGAATTTTAAAATGCAATCAAAAAGTATAATAGAATAAAAAAAGACCTCTTACTTATATGAAAAAGCTGAGTTCTATTTATAACTAGTTGCTCCAGCTATTGCAGTTCTTAAAGATAACGATGCCTTCAACTTCTGGCAATTTTATCTATGCAGTTTTCTGAACAGCATTGAGAAATCATTTGCCTGGGATTTTTTTAACTTCCTAGTTTACTCAATAGCTCTGAGATTTTCTGATGTCTTCCATCCAAATACTAATTAGTCAAACTCTGCTTAGCTTCCCCCCCACAATCAAAGGTACCCCTAAAAATCCTTACTTACATCTGCCTTAGAGCAATATATTTAACTTAAAGTCTGTACTAGATACTCAGTTGTATTTCTGAAATATGTATCTTAAAGTTTCTTACAGGAAGCCAATCATATTTTAAGCTATAAAGAGTTTATTTAAAAAGAAGGAAAAACAGATAAGAGACAAACTGCTTTAACCACTAGATAACCATTTAAAATCAGTAAATTATCATTTCCACATACATACCTAGAATCTGTGTGGACTTCCAAGATCTATTAATCTTTTTAAAAACATTTTTATAGCTGAAAACAATCTTAAAATGTTTGATTCAATGGTGGCGGACAATAGTCTCTTTCCTGTTTATTATATTTAATAGGGTTTTTTTTAAAAAAGAAATTTGAGTAAAACTGCTTGTGGATTTAAATATGAAAAGAATGTGCTGGCTGAGTCTTAGATGAAGGAGCCTGCAACCCATGATACATTTTTAAAGAAACAGCTTTTTCAAACAGATGCTTTATTTATTCTTTCATTTGTCAGATTTATAGGCTGTCCAAATTCAGAACTCTTAGCAGCTTCACAAAATTAAAAATACATTGTTACAAATAAAATAACACACTACATAATATAAAACATAACTGGCATATCTAGTTTTTGTTGTTAATTGCGAAGTCGTTTCCGACCCATCGCGACCCCATGGACAACGTTCCTCCAGGTTTTCCTGTCCTCTACCATTTTCTGGAGTCCATTTAAGTTCACACCTACTGCTTCAGTGACTCCATCCAGCCATCTCATTCTCTGTCGTCCCCTTCTTCTATTGCCCTCAATTTTTCCCAGCATTAGGCCCTTCTCCAGTGAGTCCTTCCTTCCCATTAGGTGGCCAAAGTATTTGAGTTTCAACTTCAGGATCTGGCCTTCTAAAGAGCAGTCAGGGTTGATAGTGGGAACCACATAAGCTATCTAGCCCCTGGCCTGGAGAAAAAAAAACTTTTAAAAAGATCACCTAAAAGGCAAGCATTTGTTTGCAATCCATAACTGAATTCTAATGTTCCTTTTTAAATGGAAATTCTGCCAAAGTGTTTGTCATAAAAGAGGGATGGATGTTTCATTGGCACTTCCAAATTTGAAATGTTTCACAATTTTTTTTAATGCAGAGCAAATGCTGCTGCTACATAATTTCTATCTCATATAAATGCTTGTTCAGATAAAAGTATTCTGTCAATTTTTTTTCTCTAGATCAAAACAGACTACAACACCTTATAAACTGAAGCTAGAAAACTGAATCTTTTATTCTTCTATGAATATACATTCAAAGATGTGAGAAAATACTGTGCTGTGAAATCAATAAATAATACTGTTTTCAAGTATGCTGTACAAATTATTCATACATAACAGACAAATGTAAAACATATATACAGGACAAGCCTAGAGACTTAACTGCTAAAATCAATGGGGTCCTTGGCTTCCACAGCTGATAAGATTCTTAAGGCATTACACACATTGTTTAGAAAATTTGCCTTCTAGTTGGTACAGAGTTGACCACTTTTGAGCCTCAAAAAAAGAAAAGCTTTACTTGAAAGTTGATCCACAACAAACTAACCAACTAAGGTAAGGACAGCTGGATCCAGGACGGCTGGATCTTGGATATGCTACTTACCCAGACTGTTATTAATGATAATTAACGTCCATTTGCTCCCTCAGATAATATCCTGGATGGCTCAGTGTATTTTGCAGTTAGCAAATAAAAAAGAGCTGGTGCAGGCACCAAGGCCAGCAAAGGCAAGTCCTGGTAAATGTTGCTCAGCTTGGAAATGGAGATAATTCCGTAGGCATGCAACAGCCAATGGCTAAACAGAACGATAAGCCTTTTCTTCCTGACAAGTAGATCTTTGAAAGTCTTGAAAATAGAAGATAAAATATTTCCATTAGTTTCTATTTTTATAGTAATCTACTTATATGTATAAATGGAATGTGAGATTCAGGAATTGTTTTGGAATATCTTTTTCATCCTGATAACAAACTGCATCTCAGCAATACTCCCAAAGCAATATCTTGATTCTGCAGGAAGCCAGGGTACAGGTATATAAACTGATCAATTAGAATCTCTAAAGGAGGAAAGTCAGCAAAAAGTTTTAACCTTTTATTCTTTTAGGAATTTTGATGGAAGATTATGTCTGAATGCACAATCTGACTTAGCATAGCGGGCTAAGAGATTACATTCTTGAAAACTTTTAAATTTTAAAGGCTTCTTTAAACTGTTTGCTCTAGTAGCAGATTTTTTCCTAGTCAATGCTGGCAGGGCGAGGTATCCAGCAGTTTCATGAAAATCCTGACAACTGGAGAAAAAGAGAATTTCTGTTCAATAGCTCCAGCAGATTCAATAATTCATTTCTTCTCAGATAGTGCCTATAGGATACTGAACCAATCACCTCCCAGAACTTCATAGTCTATTGACCGTTAATAATTTTGCTAGTTGCAGTGATTTACTTACCTCTACTTCAGAAGCAGATAGATAGACAACTAAGGTAACAAGAGATAGTACAATGATGATATATGGGAAAGCATAGTCTGGAAGGAAAAGAAAATGTGTTATACATACTTACATCATATTGGTTAAGCAGAACAGATAGATAAACAATTAGTTTTCAATAGCAATAGCACTTAGACTTATATACCACTTCACAGTCCTCACTCTAAGCGGTTTACAGAGTCAACCTATTGTCCCCAACAATTTGGGTCCTCATTTTACCGACCTCGGAAGGATGGAAGGCTGAGTTAACCTTGAGCCGGTGAGATTCGAACTGCCAAACTACTAGCAGCGAGCAGTCAGCAGAAGTAGCCTGCAGTACTGCGTTCTAACCACTGCGCCACCATGGCTCTTCAAAATACTACATTCAAGAGGAAATCCAGATTTAGTGAAACTGCCCTTAGTAAAAATATATCAGACATTATATTCTGTTATAGTCTAAGCAAGGCACTCAAACAAACAGTCCTCATGTGATGCATTGCATTCCTATCCTCTGATTTAAGAAGACAAGTTTTAATTTCTGTAAAAACTTTCTCCCTGTTTTTAGGATGCAGTGAAACTCAGAATCTACCTACCAGTAACAGATTTACATTCACATTTACTATACATTTTATGAGCGTCACCCGGTTTACATATTGTGGTAAATGTGTAAACATTCAATGATTTGTTTGGTTTAGATTTAATTTGTGGTGGAAACCCTGTGTGAACTCAAATCTATTTTTTTTTCTAAACAAGATGTTTATATCCTGCCACTTCCATCCTAGGCTGTGTGTTTCGTACAAGAGGGAATAGAAAACAACTTACAGAGCAAGCCACCTCCAACAGCCTGAAGCACAGTCAGAATTGGGAAGAAGTAAAGAGCTGCATAAATGCTCTTAAATCTATCTGACTTTCCCAGCCCACAAGCAATCTTCTTTACCAGCAGTGGACGAAGCATCATCATCAACACTAAACAGAATGCGTAGTATATGAATACAATGGTGTAGCTGAAAGAGAGGATTGTCAAAATTAGCACATTGTGACCTAAATTCCTAGAACTAACAGTTGCATAACAAAATCCCTGATAACTTCTTCTCAAATTGTGGCAAGAAGACAACCAGTCTGTCCTAAAAGCCCGCTACCACATTCCTTCCCTTTCAGGAGCTTTCTAGGTCTATCCTGTAGCATTATATCAATATTTTGCTTTCATACTAGAGGCCGGCTTGTGTCTATAGAGAAGAGAAATCAGAATTCATGATACAGTCACTTCTTGTCCCCTTGTATGAGAAAGGGATCTCTATTGTATTCCAACCTATTTGTTTTTTAACCCTATTCATTCACATTCCTTAACTGTCAAGCTTAACAGATGAGGATGGATGGCAATCCCCCCCCCCAATTTTTTTAGTTTATCGAAAGAAGGTTAAAATACAAAACACCAAAATATTTTTTAAAAACCAAAAGAAAAAAACACAACAAAAAAGACATTAACCAAGTGTCTTAGAAACTCCCCCCCCCCTCCAAAAAAAACATACACATAACATCCTCCCTAGTTGAATGCTGATTGGTGTAATACAGCAGTGTTAGTTTCCCACCCCTTGCAAAACAGGCAGAAAAATAATTAAAATGTTAAACTACTAAATCTACTTTAAAATTATTAGCCTGTCATCTGTAAACTATATGAATAACAAAGTAATTAACAGAAAAAATAATATAAAAGTAATAATTGTGAATAAGAGAAAGACAAAGTTGAAGTTCCAAAACCCTCTGTTAACAAGCTGTTATTGTAATCAACTTGTAGAAAATTTATCACAACTTCAATCACTAATTATCCTAAATATTAACCTTAATGGGTCCAGGATCAAATATCCAAGTTTGTTTCTTTATACTATCTCTTCTCAATTGCTGATTGATTGAACTGAATAGGTCCAGTCTCCAAAGCCAATCTATCTTCCCTCAAAAATCCAAATAAAATCATCCCTCAATTAGGTGCATTAAATCCATTTTCCATTCTCCATCAAACTGCCACTTGTCGACCCAGAGAGTTCTCTGCTACTATATAAAAGCACAATGTTAAGCTTCCAAGAGGTGTATGGAACCAGGTCTATAATTTCTGAATCTATATTTCTTCCTGGCCAACTTACAGCTGGAAAATCCCATTTCTTCTTGATGTTCTCCACCATCTGTATTATTTCCATATCTGTTTTTCTTCCCAATGAATCTGCTGCTTTAAAAACAAATTCTTTTTGTAGGCTTAAAAAAATGTAATGTCTGTTTTTTAAAATGTTTTGTGCAGAGTTTATAAGTTCATCAAGCCTTTTTGAAAAAAAAAATCAGCTAGGGATTGCACCTTGTTAGACAGAGTCTGTTTTCCTCCTTGGGTGTCAGCCTCCTCCTTCTCTCGCTGTAATCTCATCCATTGTTGGTTCAAAGAAGGGAGGCAGCAGGGAGGCAATGAAAAAGACAGGAAAGATATTTTCTGGCCATTTGATCAAAACGTTTTTTCAAGTTAATAAATACAAATCCAAAGTCATGTGTGCAGAAGGCAAAAATTAATGAGAGCAGTCAAATAAATCAAAAAAGGAAAACAAACAAGAAAATAGAAAGACTCCAACAGTGGTTGAAATAAATCAGCCTTCAGCCAATCAATTAGCATTTAAAAATAAAAAGCAAAAGTTCAGAAAATAAAAATTAAAAGTCTTGGCTTGCTTATGAAAAAGGAAGAAGTGTAAGAGGCCCTTGACTTTTCAGCTGTCCCCTTGCAAGGAGTTGCAATCTTCAAGATTCCCCCTCTTGGGTGGGTCCACAGCTGTCCAAAAGTCATCTGGGGTCTTTATATAATAATAATAATAATAATAATAATAATAATAATAATAATAATAATAATAATAAGTAGTAGTAGTAGTAGTAGTAGTAGTAGTAGTAGTAGTAGTAGTAGTAGTAGTAGTAGTAGTAGTGGGAAAGAACCTTGGAGATCATCGAGTCCAACCCCCTGCTCAGGCAGGAAACCCTACACCATTTCGGACAAATGGCTGTCCAGTCTCTTCTTAAAAACTTCAAGTGTTGGAACATTCACCACTTCTGGAGGCAGGTTGTTCCATTGGTTAATTGTTCTAACTGTCAGGAAGTTTCTCCTTAGTTCTAGGTTGCTTCTCTCCTTGATTAGTTTCCACCCATTGCTTCTTGTCCTGCCTTCAGGCGCTTTGGAAAATAGCTTGACTCCCTCTTCTTTGTGGCAACCCCTGAGATATTAGAACACTGCTATCATGTCCCCCCTTGTCCTTCTCTTCGTTAAACTAGACATACCCAATTCCAGCAGCCTTTCCTTATATGTTTTAGCCTCCAGTCCCCTAATCATCTTTGTTGCTCTTCTCTGTACTTTTTCTAGAGTCTCAGCATCTTTTTTGTATCATGGTGACCAAAACTGGATGCAGTATTCCAAGTGTGGCCTTACCAAGGCATTGTAAAGTGGTATTAATACTTCACGTGATCTTGATTCTATCCCTCTGTTAATGCAGCCCAGCACTGTGTTGGCTTCTTCTTAAATGCCTCCATCAAATTCAGGGGCAAGGTTGCAAAAAAAAAAACCCCAGCTCTGGCAGCAAAGACAGCAAATCATGGATAAGAGAAAGCTCTCACTCTACAACAGCCACTGGGGGAGAAGTCTCAAGGATGGGTGCCAATTTTATTAAACAAAAATACTACAACAAAAGATATGTAGTATATTGCTCATAATTACAGTTTTTTAAAACAAAAACAGCCTTATATTTGTTCCTCTGGCCACCAGCTATTACACTTACATACTTAACCCCAAAAAACTTGCTTCTGCTATAGACCATTAAAACTGAATTATTTTACATGTTACAATGAAAAGGTCTTGACTTTTGTTCAAAGTATCAGATCAGTATGGAGGTTACAAGTATACACTCACAGAGGATAGACAGCTTCGTGGGTACAGTGAATGGTGGTAACGTAATCAGGACTTGGATTGTAAAGCATGGTATACCAGTCAGAAAGCATCATCACTTTACATGAACGGATGTGCAGGGAGCCCATGGGGTCACTTACAAGCAGAGTAACAATTGCTGCCATGCTGCATTCAATTAAAGCAGTGATGTGCTGGAAAAGTGCACTGGAACTGTTGAGAAAAAATAAAATCAGTACTCAAAATAAAAGAGCTGAGTGCCATAAAACATTAATTCTCTTATCACTTTTAAAGAGTGTTGCAAAACCTTCAATATGACAGCAGGCAGAATCCAAGAGCTTATTCTTCATCTGAGGTGCCTTGACTTTCCAGATTTATTTGTTTTATCGTAGAGAATTTTGGAGAATGAGTTAACTTTTGAAAAATCTCTCAATATTTTTTTAAAAATCAGAGCTTTTAATGCCCAGAGATAGACAGAAGATTGATATGTTTTAAATAAACAAATGTGACCTTGCATCATATAAATACATGCATATAAAAATAACTACAGGTTATTACATCACAGCCATAAGTAATAACAGTTGTAAATCATCACCCACATGACCAGCCCGATTTTACAACCTTTTTTGCAGTGTTTAAGTAAATGCTGCGGTCGTTAAGCGAACCAATAGTTCCCTATGGGACCAAGTTTCCCGAAAACTGAAAATAAACCGTTGTTTTCAGCAAACCATTGTAAAACAAGGTCCATGACTATGGGATACTGCAAATGGCTGTAAATATGGGCTTGTTGCTGAGCACCAACAGATTTGGGGGGGGGGACAGCCGTTAAATCTTCACAACTGGGTGACAGACACCACCAAAGAGGTCCATTGTAATTTTGAATGGTCACTAAGTGACTGGTTATAAATCAAGGCCTGCCTATAGATTTGGGTAAGTTCATGGATTAAGATAATAGTACCAGCAGGTGGGAGAACAAGAGACACCTGGTCTGGGCTTGGAAACTAAGCTAAATTAGGCCAGGCTAGAATTTGTATGGGAACCTGTTAGGGATTCTCAGGATTGTAGGCTAGAGTGAAAAGTTGAAAAAAACCTGGAAAAAGCCAATTCATACTATTTCTGCACTGTTGCGGAAGTACTTGTGCAAACTACTTCAGAACTGTTGTCAAGAAAACTGCAACTAGCAGGTGAGCTGAACTAAAAATGTCTTTATATTTTTATTTCAGTATTGAATTTATAATTCAGGAGATGGTGGGATGTATTTATTAATTATTTAATTTATATGTCACCCATCTCACTGTCTAATCAACTCTGAGCAGTTTACATTATAATAAAAGTATAAATGTAAAAATGATTAAAATTAACAAGAATTAAATAGAGGCTAAAATCCAAGAGGACAAACGGTACAGATATGTATCTTTTTATAAATATCATTTTTATATATTTAGTTGAGAAGTTAGTGTATTTTAAAGTTAAATATTATTAAGCTAAAACCTTATTTTATTTTAATAAATATTTACCTCTTTTTCCCTGAATACCATTCAATGAAGAACCAATGCAGAATGAGAGGTAGCATTGCCATAAAGCCAAGATAAAGCCAATCATAGCGTTCTGGGGATCCCATACATTCGCGGCAAATTTTATAGGCATCACTTCTTTGTCCTCTGGGACATACCTGAAAGTTTTATCACAATCTATTTTATAAAGCCTTTACTTAACTTATTTAAAAATATTTGTCTAGTTTTCCTTTCTATTTGATTAATTACATAAAAACAATTCATGCAGACATTCAGCACATCCTTTTACCTAGTCATGTCCAATAACAGTTATAAAATGCAACACACCCTTGTTTTAAATATTCAGAAAAATTGCCAAAATTACAACTTACACCACAATCACCATGAATTTCAGTTCCATTTATAATTTCCACTGTTCTTCCACAATAAAGTCCAAGGCAGTCTGGCTGAATATCTACAACTTACACAAAAAAACAGTGTATAATTCTTGACTTTTATCTATAAAATCTCATCTGATTTTATGCAGTTTTTCCATATACCATTATCATTACTACATCGCCCCACATAAATTGCATTCATAGTGTTGGTCATTGCAAGGCTTTCATATACAATAATGGTTTTAGTAAATTAGAGAAAGCATAGACTAGGTTAACATATTTGGTTGATCCTGTGCTATATGCTGCATTATCTGCTAACAAGAACAATACAGTATTTGTAGATTTTGCCTAGAATGCAACAGGCTCAATCAAAGAACACAATTACCCCACACAAACTTCTATGAACACCCTGATCTCAGTTCCTAGGGGAAAATCCAGGTCTTCATAATCTTCCAGAAGGCAAATTGAGGTGGGGCTGTCTGTCTATATCTCAGAGGAAGATTGTTCCATAAGACAAGCAACAGAAAAAAAGAAGGCAAAGTTCCTATTGCCTATCAAATGACACTGCTTCACTGATAGGACCAGGAGTATGCCCATTCTGGTCTACCTAATGGGATAGACAGAAACCATCTGAAGGAGACAGTGTCACATGTAACTTGGCCTCATGAAGGGTGACAATCAGCCTTGAATTCAGCCAGAAATCTACTGGGAGCCAGTGCAATGAGATATATGGATCTTAAAATTGTTTCAAATAAAAGTTAGTAAACAACTGCACATTATACATGTAAATGAATGGCAAAAAAATAAATAGAAAAGTAGATGTATTTCTTATCATGGTGAAATGCTTATCAGTTTTAAAAAAGGAATAAAGATGTTTTAAGATGTGCAAATTTTGCAAAAAGCAGTGGGTAATATATGATGTTTAAAGAACAAAAAAGAATGCATGAAGCAGTGCTGGATGCAGTGGAAGCAAGGATGGTTTGCGAATATAGACTAGTATTGTGACATAGATTAATATTTATTTTCCTTAATTTCCTTAATAAGCCTTTTTGGCTTATTATTTCTTACCCTTTGTCTAGATTTTGCTTGATGTTGTAAAAAGAGAGTACCATGATGGAATCTATGCATTTTCTTATTTTATTACCTTGTCCTAAACTCACATAACGTTCGGGTATACATCTACTGATAATAGAATCCTATTCTAAAGATCAGAAAAAAGAAAAAAAATCTACAAGCAGCCCTGGAATAATGACAAAATTTGAGAGAGAGTTAGCAGCACCATAAAATTATGCAAAACATCGCTATATTAGCTGGTCGCGCAATCGACCCTTTTCTGTCAGGCGACCTTCTCCAGGGATATTGAAAGGATGCTCGGGATCCAACCCTGCCATCTTTCAACTGAGGAAGTAAGTGGCGTTCAAGCCTGGCCTGTGGGGCTACAGGCAACATTAACAATGGACACAACCAGAGCGAGACAGTCTCCGAAACTCAAACTCACCCATCTTACTCCAGTCCGGCCGCGACGGAAGTACGGCAAAGATTCGGGAGTTTGACAGTACTCAAATATCCAGCCAATCAGCTGCCGACCAGATGCCGCAATCCCTTGCCGATTCGATTGTCTGCTTGCCCTTAAGTAGGTGGGGAAGCCAAATCCACAAGTTGTTATTTGTGTTCCGCCTCCCAGGTCGTGTGACGATGTTCACTTCCTGCGCTGGAGGGAACTTAATCCTGGAGGACGGAAATGCCGATCCAAGATGCAGAATTCTTTTTGCCCGTAGAGCTAGAAATAATGAAGACGCACTCCCTTAAATATATGAAACATCTGAAAAATCAACCTCAGCCAATTTTCTCTTTATCCGTAAAAATTTACCCAACCAGCAGAGAACAGTAACCAAGCAGGAAAGGACTGGCTGGAACAATCTTTTGGGGATTCCAAGGCACATTTGCAATGGGTCGAAAGTCCAAAGAGAAGGATGTTATCTGCTCCTGCACCAGGAAACAGTGTGACAATACTGGCAACAGATCAAAGCCGCAATTGCACATCTGTCTTAAGATATGGGCTTGCTTCTCCATTATCCTGCTTTGGTGCAATATCCATAAACCTGGGTCATGAAAACCAGTGCAGTTTTAAAGAAAATGTGAATGTATTTTTAATTAAATAGCTAACATTTGAATTATAACTATATAAAGAACAATGGTTTGACCAAGGCTGGGATCGAGCAAAAAGGATTGCAGTAGCTTTTTGGAAAGAGAGATTTATAATCTTGGATCACTAGCCCATTCGTGTTCAGTTTTTTTATAGTTGCTTCTAAACCTCAGATGCCTGGAGTTAAACTCCCAAAATTCCCCAGTTACATAACCGCGCAGAGGATTTGCCTTTCTCATTTCGATGATGCCCATTCGTGACGCGTCGGTGGGCGGGCCTCGGGAGTGGGGCGTGGTGCTGTTTAAAGCCACGATCAGTCGTTGTCACAGTTAAGAAAAGCCGTTCAAAATGTCCGCGGGCGATCGCGGTGATTGGCTGCCCCCGCGCGAGCCGGGCAGCCCGACCATCCGTACCGTGGAGATGCACGCGGGAGGGGAGCCGCTCCGGGTGGTGGTGCCTGGCGGGCTGGGACTGCTGGAACCCGGGCCTGAGCTGCCTCTCCTGAGTCGGCGGCGTCGCCTGCTGGACTCCCCGGAGCTGGACGCTGTGAGGCGGCTGCTGATGCACGAACCCCGCGGACACCGCGACATGTACGGCGCCGTGGTGGTGCCCAGCGAGCTGCCCGAAGCCGCCCTTGGAGTCCTCTTCGTGCACAACGAGGGAGCGAGCTCTATGTGCGGCCACGCCGTCCTTTGCCTGGGCCGCTTTGCCCTCGACTACGGCCTCTGCCAGCCCTCGCCTTCCCCCGGCGAGACCGCCATCACCATTCACTGCCCCTGCGGGCCCGTCAAGGCTTTTGCGTCCTGGGACGGGCAGCGCAGTGGAAGCCGCGTTCGTTTCCACAGCGTGCCTGCCTTCGCCGCGGCCACCGGTAGGGATGCGATGGTGCTACTCTGACCAGCTCTTGGACTTAAGCCCATTTTCCCATTAGGGCAACTTCCAGAAGTAGATGGACTTCAGCTCCCAGCATTCTAGGCAGTAGCCAAGTTGGCTCGGGAATTGGAGTCCATAGGTGTGGAAGATGCCTGAGCAATGTTAATTTAACTTTTTATCCTTAATTGACATTTTAAGGGTGTGATGTATTTAAGATTATGTAGCTGCCCATCTCATGTGACTCTAGGCAGCTCAAAGTTAAAACAGCAAAGATACACTTGTATAGATTAAAATATAAAAGCGAAGGAATGTGTCAGCTTAACAGTTTATAGACAATACAATGCAACCATCTTGCAGGCTCCCCATGTCCCTGGGATTCCCAGGCGTGATGACACAGCCATGCCTTCAGGGGCTTCCAAACGTCAACAAAGTTGGGGCCAATATAACCTCACGAGGGATACAGTTCCAGAAGGCAGGACAGCAGAAAAGGCTCTTCTGGGTCCCATTGAAGGGAAAACGTCCCTTCTGCCCGATCTGATGGGACAGGTAGATGTAACAGGCTTTATAGGTAATAACCAGCACCTCGCAACCAGAAGCAAACTGGCAACTAATGCAGTTTACGAAGCTGAGATGTAATGTATACTGATCTTGGAGTGTACATAACTTCCTGCGCCATCACATTTTGTACTCGCAGATTCTGGATGCTTTTCAAAGGCAGGCCCATCTAGAATATGTTAACAATATTTTATCTGAGAAGTGACCAGGGTTTGAATTTGGGTTTGCTATATTGGTCAAGTCAGACAACAGAAATCTAGTTTTTTTTCCTTTTTATGAAGAAAGCAGATATTAAACTCAAATGAAAAGGTGTGTTTAAAATCTGTAGTGTATAAAATAGCTAGAGAAAGAACTTGATTGTTCCAAATATTAGTCATCTTTCCCAATTTACTAGCTGTATATATTACCATCACTAGAACTGAGCTAATTTGTTAAATTCAGTTTCTTGGTTTCTATTAGGTGTTTCTTAAGTGTGGTCCTAAGATCCCAGAGGGTCTCTCAAAATCCTCTCAGGGATCTGCAGTTAAAATTGTTTGCCATCATTTGTTAAAAAAATAATACAATATCAAATATCCCATCAAACTGTCAAGAGAAATGATAGCATCAGATGTATCAGTTCGAATTTTTAAAAGATAAATATCAATAAATGTAACCTATACTAACAAAAGCCTTTTGGGGTCCTCCATTATTTATAGAAGGTAGAAAAGGTCCTGAGGGAAAATGGTTTAAGAAACACAAGTATAAATATCTTTATAAGTTATTCTTATACACGGGTGTCAAACTCGACTTTGTGATGTGATGTATTTTGACATTTTTTTGCCTTTGCAGAGCTGGGGCGGGCATGGCCTGCGCATGATGTATCCTGCCTGCGGGCCGCCAGTTTTTTTTTTTATTAAAAGTTTTTTAAAATTTTAGAAGATAATATAACCCTTCCCCAAACCTCCCATTCCCTCCCCCGACCTTCCCAGAGCTGAATATAGGCTTAATTAAAATTTCTTCTAAAAATCTTTAAAAAGATATAAAACATGAATAAGTCTAAATACATTAATTAAACAAATTATAAAATACTTAACAATAATATATATATATATAAAAAACATAAGTACAAAAAATACTTGAAAAGAAGAGGAAAAAAAAAGAAATAGGAAAAAAGAAAAAAGAAGATAAAAAAAATAAAATAGAAAAAAATAAAATCTATAAAATATTTTAAATTTTAAATATAACTTATTAAAAAACTAAATAATATTTTTATATCCAACTTGTATTGTATGAAATCTATCCATCTTTTCCACACCACAAAGTACTTCTCTTGCGATTGATCCTTCAAGAAAGCCGAAATCTTTGCCATTTCCGCCAAATAAGAAACTTTAAAAAACCACTCTTGCAAAGTAGGCAAAGATTCCTTCTTCCAACATTGCCCTACTAACAACCTTGCCGCTGTAATTAAATTTAACATCAAGGTAGTCTCTTTAGTATCACAATCAGTAACAATACCTAACAAAAACAATTGTTTTACCCTCCTTCTAAAAATTCTTTGAATATTCCACCATATCTTAATCCAAAAAGCTTTTATATTTTTACACAACCACCAGATATGATAATAAGTAGCATCCAAACATCCACATCTCCAACATTTAGGCTGTAAGTCAGGATACATACGAGACATTTTTTGTGGATCAAGGTGCCATCTATAAAACATTTTGTAAAAATTCTCCCTTAAATTCTGGGCTTGTGTAAATTTGACATTCCTCACCCAAATAGTTTCCCAAGTATCTAATAGAACTGGTTCACCAAAGTTTTGTGCCCATTTAATCATACATTCTTTAACTAATTCTGCTTCTGAGTCCAATGCTACTAACAACCCATAAATTCTCTTAATGTGAGTTCGTCTTTGATCTTTTACTTGTTTAAAAAAGTTCTCATCTTCTCTAAGCAAACCCACATTACGATCTATCATCCATCTATCCACTATTTGTCTATACTGAAACCATGAGTATATAATATTTTCTTGTGCTAAATCTTCCAAAGATTTTAACTGCCAATTTTTACCATCCCATCTAAGTAATTGTGCATAAGAAACACTATCCATCTTAACTCCTCTCTTTATCCCCTCAGTCGCATGCCCTGGTATGGCCCATAATGGAATTTTGGAATCACTTCTATAATATTTCCTCCAGACCCGAAGTAGAGAAATCCTTATAATATGAGATTTAAAAACCCTATCCACCTTTTTATTAAAAATTAAATAGGCATGCCATCCGAAAAGTAAATCCCAACCCTCCAAGAGGAGTATTTCTACATTTGTTAAATTAACCCAATCACTTATTAATGTTAAAACCACAGCCTCGTAATACAATTTCAAGTTTGGTACCTTGAGCCCACCTCTCTCACGAATGTCTTGTATAATTTTAAGTTTTACTCTTGGTTTTTTCCCTGCCCAAATGAATTTATTAATGACTTTCTGCCATTCATCTAAGTCAACCTCATTCTTTAAGATAGGTATCATTTGAAATAAAAAAAGAAACTTTGGCAAAACATTCATTTTAATCACCGCAATTCTTCCCAAAAGAGATAATTTCAACTTCTCCCAATTTTTCAAATCTCTTTGTGTCTTGACCCACAGCCTTTCATAATTATTTTTATACAATTTTATATTAGAAACAGATAAAATAACCCCCAGGTATTTTACCTTATCGACAACCTCAAAATCTGTCAAATTAACCAAAGTCAACTTATCCAGATTAGTCATATTTTTGGGCAATATTTTAGTCTTATTGTTATTAATTTTAAAACCCGAAACCCGTCCATATTGATGTATCAATTGTAGTAACTCTACTACAGAATAAATAGGTTGGGATAAGGTAACCACCAATTCATCTGCAAAAGCCCTTAATTTGTATTCTTTTTTATTAACTTCTATTCCTTTTATTTGCTGTGATTCTCGAATTTTAATCAGCAATATTTCCAAAGTTAAAACAAACAGTAATGGTGACAATGGGCATCCCTGTCTAGTCCCTTTTTCTATTGACAAACCCCCATTAACTATAAGTTGTGCCGTTTGTTTTTGATAG